AATTTACCAACGTTAAAGGATCAACATGATTTTCCAATCAACGGCTGATCAATGTGAGTTTTCTTATCTTTCAGCGTTTTTGAGCAGAAAGCCAACATTGAGCCGCTCCTGATTTACACCAACTTCGCGAACTAGGGCGCAACCTTGTAGCTCCTCGCCAAACAAATCTGAAATGAAAAACCTGGCAACGCATGGCAACACTCACTGGTTGATGATTTGGAACATATTTTTTTCATATATGGGTATGGATCAATACCTATATATTAATACCATTTTTAGGGGATGAACATCCATTTACCAGCTATTTTGATGTTCACCAGGGGTACAAGGTTTTGACACACTGCCATATTGGGAATGTCATCATCCCAATTTGACGAACTCCATCATTTTTCGCAAGGATTGTGAAACACACTCGCTGCGTATGGGGCCCTGAAGCGATGGGTAAGTCGGTTTATAAGTATAAGATAGTATAAGTAATTTATTATAAGATTATAAGTATGTTTTGTTTCTAGATGTCTTAGCGTGATCGATAGTTATCCCGCAGTTGAAAGTATCGCTGGACCATTCCAGATTGCTTAGTTCGGAGATGTGTTTTTTCAGTAGGGGATTTATGGCAATTTATGTCCATGGCTCAAACATGAACATCTCAACAGTTGGGACGACTACCATTAGTTGCAAGCGATGAGAAGACATGATCTCAAGAGTGTTGTGGTCAAGCTGCCGATCCCTTTGACCACCAACCACAACTACCATCATGCATGATGCGGAAGTAGTATTTCTGTTAGTTGGTTTCCAAATATTGCCAGCTTGGTTCCTCAGTTTTTATCTTGGTGATGAACATGTTCAAATAATCTCAGAGTTCATTGTCAATGTCTATGTTTAAATAATCTCAGAGTTCATGGTCAATGTCTATTTTCCTTGGTCACTCCGAACATGTTCATGTTCAAATCCAATTTTGGTCAAGCGAATTGTCATTTTCCCTGCTGAGATCACCACGTTTGCTGGATTAAGCATGTAACACCCCCATTTTTGGGGGGCGGAACATCCACATTCACATGTTTGATGGATAAATCTCAGTTCTTATAATATGTTTTAATTATATATATATGGGTAAATTACAACGACCTCACTGTTCTCCCTCACTGGAATCATGGTTAGTAAGGAAATCATCCCCAAATGGCCCAACATTTCAGGTTAGTGAAATATTATAATTTACCCAGATATATATAGTTATTATAATTCATTATAATTCTATATGCATAAGCCCAGTGGTACCCTTCCACTGTCCATTATATATATTATATGTATGTTGTTCGTTAAAAACCACACACCTGTGATATGTCGAAAAATCGGAACCTTCTGTGGCAAAAGTGACATCGGAACTAGGTGCCGATGACCTGCCGCGACATCCAGCGATCGGCCCCTTGACCTTGGGCCATTGGGGGTGATCCAATGGGAAAATCGGTTCACCGGAAACCATGGGAAAAGCCCATGAAAACCATGAAAACTAGGGGTTATATGGGGTTATCTACTGTAACTCTGAAGCAAAAACTCATAACTAATGATGATGCTTTCAACATGGTTTCGCAAAAGTTGGGAGAAATAAGGGGTTAAGAAAGTGGATGTTTCAGAGTTTGACCAACCAAAAATGGCAATATTTACAGTACCTGTCTTGGAATCTATTGAGGCTACTTGTTACCAGACAATTTAAATATTCTAGATGGTTGTCAATGGTTGTCCCAAAATGATCCAAAATGTGGGTTTTGCTCCGATGTTTGGCCATCAAAGAATGGTGAATAGGCGTTTTTTTAACAATGGAATGGAATGGGGGTGAAATGGTGAGAAGGGGAAGCCCAAAAAAGAAACATCAAAAATCATGGACCATATTCCAGGGGTTGGTAAATGTCCTGTTTTGGGGATTTTGAACATCACTTTCAAGTATTTGTTGGTGATTATATCCCCAATAGTTGGGTGATGTTCAATTGGGACATTTACCAACCCCTGTATTCTGCCAGAGCCAGTAGTGGTTTTGGGGTAGCCCAAGAAGCACCAAGGTGAGAAGTCTGGAAGACAGCCTTTGGAAGGAGATCTTGCAGGCTCGTGACTTGAATGATCGGCACAAGCATGGGATTTAAAGATCAACATGTAATTAATTTGGAATCAGTAGTATGGTATATCCATAGGCATATCAATGTTACACAGCATGCTATAGTTCAGATTTCTTGGCTGATTTGGCCCTGACCAACAAAATTCAACAAAACTTGGCTTTGTATACAAGTCAAGTGGGTAAGAAATGATGCTCCCCTTGTTTCAAGTTGGGGTCCCATCCACCTCTTTTGGGGCAAACCCACATTAAGCAAGGGTCAAATGTTTAACTGGGACATTGAACGTGCTGTTGATGGTTGGTGATTTGGAATTCTGGGCTTCCCTGATTAAGCAATTTAAAATGGTGACATAGCATCAACATCTCTAGGGCAGTCAATTTAGTGAAAAACATGGTAAACTAGAGCAAAAACAGGAACCAGTTGAAGTGTACTGTAACTGGATAATCAACTTGTGGTAAACGCATAAACAAACAAACACCCTTTCGCTAGTCGGTTGACTGTACCCTGAAACCAGCCATACAACCATCATTTCGAGGTTCTATTTCTGTTTTGGTAGAAAATCTCAAATGATTTGGACGAATATTGCTGTAGATATGGGTTAAAACACATCAGATGGATGTGATGAATGATCTATCTATCTATCTGTCTGTCTGTCTATCTATCTATCTATCTATCTACCTATCTATACATGGGTTGTAAAGCCACATATGAACTGGTACCATGTTTCTCTGACTCCATTGCAATTGGTTTGTAGCCATATAGTTTTACCTGAGGCAAACACACACATATGTGCATACATATATACTGTATATATATATATTAGTATGTATGTATATATATATATATGTATATATATATGTGTATATATATATGTATATATATATATGTGTATATATATATATGTATGTATATATGTATGTATGTCTGTATATACATATGTACATATATATATATGGTTATGGGATAAACCCGCAAATTGACAATTGAGAACTTGCAATGACCAGGTTTATTGACCATATGCACCATTAATGTATCCAGGTTGGGGTGTCTTCTTACCCCTGATTGGTTCATTAACAGATATCAACAGTAGAGGAAGGGCCTCCCGGTGACAAGTTCGTTGTAACCTGTAACGTAACTTACGTTTTTGCTTAAGGTGCGCCCCCACTTATAAGTTGGTTTAAGATCCCCATTAACTATATGTAGATAGATTATATATATATAAGTATACATATATGTTTTTTTCCATTTGCTGCATAAAAGGGGGTACCCCTTGCTGCCATGCACATTCTCGAATTTAGAGGTGTTGAAAATCTGGCAACCAGTGGCTGTCGTCTCTAACCGGTGTAGAGGCTGCCGCCGCCTGTGCAATCCATTGGTCCAGAACCTCTGATGCAGCTGGGCAAGATCTCGTCCCATGACTGCGGACAAAACGCTCGAATTGCTGTGCAACCACAAAGGCTAATGCTTTGCAAAAAGCTTTGGGATACTCTTTATGCTTGGAAGTTCTAAAATTGCCCTGATCGTCTTTCCCGATCGCGGCAGTGTCAGGTTTGACAGAATCAGGCAAAGAAAGACTGTACAAGTCCTTGCGAAAGAATGGGAGATTCCATGCCAATAGGCCCGTAGGCTTCACTGCTGTGGCGCCCCAACGATATTGCTGCACGCAATGCAATACCAAGTCGGGCAATTGCAACAGTGTTTGTACCACCGCACTCGTCCAGATACTCGGTCTCTCCTCCAAAAAAGGGGGTGCAGGATGTTCCGCCACGAAGATGCCGCCATAGGCAATGTGCGCAGCCAAAACCCATACACACTGCAGAAAGAAATTTCCGCCAGTGTGACACTGGCGTAATTCTCGTGCAGACAATCCCTCTAGGCCAAACAACTGTGCGAATGAGCGCAACGGTCTCGGCCAGTGATCGGATCGCTCAGGTGGAGGAGTGAATCGAGCTTCACTAAACGTCTCGCACGGTGGACCACACAGGGTCCCCGCTATCCTTCCAGCAAGGTAACATTCCTCTAGCGCCCTCCAAGAATACATATATATAATTATATAAATATATATATATATAATTCTACATATATATATATACTTATACATATATACATATATACATATATATACATATATGCCATGAATCCTACTTGTTTTTTGGTTATGTTCACCAACTGAGCGAAACTTTTTCCGCTCCTGGCCCGCCAGGAGACGGATTTTTCCATGCCAGAAGATCCTCGTGGGACTCCAAGCGCAGGGCCAAGGAACATGTGTTGTTTACCGAGGAAATGTTGATACCCTCTGGTTATGTCAAAATAGCTATTGACAATGGCCTATTATATTGGATTTACCCATTGAAAATGGTGATTTTCCATAGCTATCCATAGCTATGTTAGTTTACCAGAGGGTATTTCGAACGATTTGTTGGTTACGGGGAATCCAAACACGGTGAAGATTTGGGCCACTGGGTCACTGGGGCATCATTAAAATATTGCGATCATCTGAGCTGAGTAGGGCAGGTCGCTGAGGGCAGAAGGCAGGTCAGCTAAGTTTAGAGAGAGGCAAACAGGGAAGAACCCGTGTGAGGCACTCATCAAGTACGTAGAGTCGCTGAAGGTAAAGTCACAGTTGGGGGAATGATATATAATTATATATATATAGGCATAAAGTTTTGTTTTGGGGATCATCTTAAGCAAATCCCAGATCATGAAAGAAGGACGAGCGAATCAGAATTTGCAGCAATCACACACAAGTCTTTTTTGTGCAGGTTGAAACTGTTTCTGATTCGTAAAATTGACCAAAATTGGACTATTGAAACCACTGGGGTCCCCCTGTTTTGGGAAACGCCAAATTTGGTAAAGTTCAAGAGTTGGATGATCCAAAGAAATGCTGCCCAAACATACCCGATGCATTCATAAGCAAGTCCTACACTTGCTTACATGTGCACCCCAAAATCAGCCGCACATATATATATATATACACACATACATACATACATACATACATACATACATACATACATACATACATACATTAATTATATATACATATAACATGTATATATGTTAGGTATACCATACGTTCTTTTGAATGAGTAACCAGTGAGTAACCACTGAATGATTGAGAAGATATGAATTGCACGCAGGCCGAGTGGTGCAAAGAAACGTGGAACTCCAAGGATTGATCAGCGGAATCATATCAAGCCATGCCTTGGTAATACAATGAATTCTCCTCGAAACAGTGAAGCTTTTGCAATGGTACTCCACTGCAATTTGTCTCTCTTCCTCTCTCTTTTTTGCATGGTCTACGATAAGAATCAAATTGGTTTGGATGAATGAAGTAATCAAATAATCTCAAAACCGCCTCAAACAGCCCATTGGATGAACTACCTCAGGTCTTGACTTCGTTGTTTAGACCATCAAGTCACTCCTCAACAGAATGGTAAAGCCTAGTGGCAAAACCTGGGCCGAGCAGAGTTTGCTGTTTGATTCGTCAAGGGGGTACCCCCGCAAGCTCCAAATCATCTGCTACCACAGCTAAAATCGACCTTTTGGAGACCCCTGATGGTAGGTGATGGTGGAGGGTTATACTATCCAATATATTGGGGATTACCACAATCCACTACGAAAAAATTTGCAAAAAACATCAAAAAACCAGCAATATAAAGGGACGACATTTCGGGTTCCCTGAAGTGTTCAGGGTGGTGGGGGGCTGATCTACCAGCATTCACATGAAGTCGCAGCTAGAGATCTCGCGCGTCCCTGACTGGTACATTATGTCATGGTACATACATACCTTCGGATAATCAATCAAGGCAATTGGTAACCCAGTATAAATAGAGGTGTTTATGGCAATATCATCTATAAATGGTGGATTTTCTATGTGGGAATGATGGTTAATTATCCCATTTAGGATGTGATTTTTGGGATGATTTACTGTTGGTTTACCACATTACATGATGTTGCAAACAATCAACATAGCACAGGTTGCGATTTATGCCACATGTTTTTACTAACATGGCATCGGTTATGCTAATTGCATTGTGTATAGTTGTGTGTCATATGCGACATACATTACTCATATATGTTCAACATGGAACACATGTTGCGGAAATAAGCGTGTTGTAGCAGAATGTCAGTTTTGTCATTGCAGAAATCGCTGCGAGATTTGCCATATGGAGCCGTGGGGCGACGTGTCTACCTTCAATACATACTGCCCAAATCGTCCTCTATTGTTGTTTCTTCCCAAGCCAGGTGAGGGTCTTAGTGGTACACAGCTCTGTGTGGCATGTGCCATGCAAATGTCACAACAAATGTGATAACATGTGTCAATACAGGCAGATCTGATGTCAAAAAGTATGGCAGAACCTATGGCAGATTTCATGTCAAATGGATTCGAATGGAATTTGCCAGATCAAATCAAAGTTTGTGTCAGGATAGATGTCAGACTATTTCCCCGTAAATATGTCAGATTACATGCCGGGAAAAATAATAGAACCAAAGACATGTGAGTGAACATATTTATTTTGCCGATAATGTGTTTTCCCCACCTGCCGTATGTCATCGCCAGCTTGTTTGCCATCGCCTCCTCTACACAGCCACTCTACGGCGAGCTTGCCAGCTCCTTGGGTGTGCCGGATCTGAACACTATGCCACATAGAATGACAGATAACATCATACAGTATGTCAAAATATATATTTCGGAAGGAATGCCAGATAAAATGACAAATAGAATGTCAGAATTCATGTCAGATAGAATGCCCGAATATATGTCAGACAAAGTGCCAGATAAGATGCCAGAAAGAACGCCAGATGAAATTGCAGATCAAATGTCAAGTAGAATGTCAGAGTATATGTCAGCTAGGTTCAGCTAGAATGCAAGAATATATGTCAATGATTGTCAATGTATATGTCAATGTCAGATATATGTCAGATAGAATGTTAGAATATGTGTCAGATAAAATGCCGGAATATGTGTCAGATATAGTGTCAGATAAGATGCCCGATGCCCGATAGAATGCCAGATGAAACTGATGAAATGTCAGATAGAATGTCAGAAAAAAAAGCAGCTAGTATGTCAAGATATTTGCCAGATATGATGTCAGATAGAGTGACAGGACATATTTTAGGTACGGGCTCTAACATGAATTTAGGGCGTCTCTCTAGGAGGTTTATACGGCTATTTGGGGCTATGTATATATGTAATTGTCTAGAACACATGTAAATTGTGTAGTTTCTAAAAATGTAAATTGTGTAGTTAAGAATTGTAAATTGTGTAGTTAGGAATTGTGAATTGTGTAGTTAAGAATTGTGAATTGTGCAGTTTCAAATTGTAAACTGTGTAGTTAAGATTGTGAATTGTGTAGTTGAAATTGTAACCTGTCTAGTTCAAAAATGGTAAACTGTGTAGTTAACAAGATGCAGCCCACGAGCCCGAATGCTCACACGCAGAACACTTTTCTGAAACAGTTTATTTGAACAGTCTTGTACATTTTTCCCCTGTTACCATACCAGTGCACCGTAGGCTGTGGAATATGGAAGAAGGTGGCGTGCTAAGTGTGGAGTGTAGAGTCTGGAGTGTAAAGTAATTATGGAGTGTAAAGTGTGGAGTGTCAAGTGTCAAGTGTAAAGTGTGGAGTGTGGAGTGTGGAGCGTAAAGTGTAAAGTGTGGAGTGTAAAGCGTAGAGTGTAAAGTGTAGAGTGTAAAGTGTGGAGTGTAAAGTGCGGAGTGCAAAGTGTGGAGTAAAGTGTGGAGTGTACAGTGTGGAGTGTAAAGTGTAAAGTGTTGAGTGAAGAGTGTGGAGTGTCAAGTGTAGAGTGTGGAGTGTAAACTGTCAAGTTTGGAAGTTTGGAGTGTTTAAAGTGTAGGGTGTAAAGTGTAGAGTGTAAAGGGAAGAGTGTGGAGTGTAGAGTGTCAAATGTGGAATGGAAAGTGTGAAGTGTCAAGGGTGCAGTGTGGAGTGTGGAGTCTGGAGTGCTGCGCCTGCTACGCAAAATGATGACAAAGCTCGCCAAATTGCTGCGCCTGCTACGAAAACTGCAACTCATCTTGTGAAAACGACACAAAAGTATTGCGCCTGCCACACAAAACGACTTTCGACACGTTATCAAACAGGTTGGAATTAAAGTGCCGCGCCTGCCATGCAAAACGACATGACAACCTGCTTGGAAACCTTGGAGAAGGAGAGGTTTTGCAGCTTCCCCCATAGACACGGCGAGGCCACAGGAAAACCAGAGACTCGAGACGAGACACGTGGGAGCATCAAAACGAGCATTTCGTGCGAGACTTCCTCCAATTTTGACACTTTGTAGCTTCAAAATCGACGTTTTCCTAGGAGTTTTCCTTTGAACCTGAAAATTTGCAACCTCAAAATCCATGTTTCGTGCGACGCTTCCGTCAATTTTCATCACAAAATGCCACGTTTGCCACGGACCTTGCACCTTGTCGCCACTTGACGCAGCGCAACACGACACGTCTAAAGTGCTGCGTCTGCCGCGCAAAATGACGATGGACACGTCCAAAGTGCGGCGCCTGCCACGAAAACTGCAACTCATCTTGCGAAAACGTCGCGCAAGTATTGCCCCCGCCGCACAAAACGACTTTCGACACGTTACAAAACACGTCTGAATGTCACGAAGTGCCACGCCTGCCACGCGAAACGAAGCAACGCGATGCTTGAAACCTCCAAGAATGACCCCTTCTGCAGAACTTACCATAGGCACGGCCATACGGGGATCGCGCGAACAGTTGCGGACGGTTGCGAACGGTTGCGGACGGTTGGACAAAACGTCGAGCGAACACACCCTCAACCCCCAGACCCCCAGAGTGAAACGGGAACCCTTGCTACGCATTCGGAAAAAAATGTAAATTGTGTAGTTAAAAGTTGTGAATTGTGTAGTTTGGAAAATGTAAATTGTGTAGTTAAAAATTGTAAACGGTGTAGTTAAAATCAGTGTAAATTGTGTAGTTAAAAGTTGTAATTTGTGTAGTTAAGAATTGTGAATTGTGTAGTGAAAATTTTAAGCTGCGCATATAGTTAAAAATTGTAAACTGTGTAGCTGAGATTTGTGAATTGTGTAGTTACAAACTGTCAGCTGTGTAGTTAAAAATTGTAAACTGTGGATTAAAAATGTAAATTATGTATATAGTTTAAAACTTGTACGTTGTAGTCAAAAATATATATTGTAGTTAGAAGATGCTACAAGTTGTAAATTAAGTACGCAATTTACACCCAGAATAACTAGACAGTTAACCCCCAATATACCCTAAAGAAAACGTGCTAGGGCTTATACCTAAGATATATTCTTTAGCGGGATCGCACGAAGTAGAATAGTTCTTGCACTACGGAGACACATGAAGTAAAGAGAGCGGTAGCTTGTGTATTTCGCTGCCTGCGGGTTTGTCTGTCGAACTGTGGTTAAAAACATGCATGTTATGTATGCAACTGCCTGCATTCTGTTGTCGCTGCTGTGGCTTGCATCATTGCAACACCGCGTTGTGCAGGAACAGAGACGTTCACGACAAATAGAAATACCGCAAGATTGACAACTTAAGCGCAAGCGAACGCGGGCGCGCCTTCGTTCTTAGTGGCTTGAGTTGATCGGAACAAAGCGCTCCCCTGCAGATGCGTCAAGGAACTGTTCAAAACAAGCATGTCAATCGCAGGGGCAACACACGACCTTGTAGTAGCTCAAAACTAAACATCTTCGCTGAAACCCAGGTGCCAATGAGCTGATTCCCAAATTCCAGCCGCAGCCTTACATTATGAGACATCGCATCTTCAGCTTTCGAACGGGAATCATGATGTCCACGCTGTGGAACCAATGAGGGCGCCCCATTTTCTGAGAAGCACAGCCTTCGTTTTTTTTCATTGCTGGGAAACTGTTTGCGATGAATGGAGCAGGGATTGTCATTTGTTCATCGCAGGTGCGCTTTCCTAAATTTGGGGCTAGCGTTTTGAGATGTAGTGGGCTTGTGAGGTACCGATTGCGCAGGTACCTTTCGCAGCTGGGTTGCCAAGACAGTCGCTCAGACACCGCGACTGTGTGCCTCGCAAATCACATGTGTTTCAGTGCGTTGAGGGCCTGTGGCCCCAACACAGATGCGGATTGTGCGCGGCAATCAAATTGACTAATAGATACGACAAAAATATTTTTTAGGATGGTACTTTTCTCTTCAATAAGCAGTTGCAGCTTGGTTGTTTGCTGCAACCTGCCTCATCATCGGTTTTGGCGGTTGCTCCAGTCGAACCTTTGCTTCATTTTCTTGCGCTGTTTCATCTGTGGTTTTTGGTCAGGGAATTTGCTTGGTTTTATCTCATGTGATCGTTGTATGCATCCCTAGATCCAACCCTCGCGTCACTTCGCCCGAGGCGTGGTCTACCAAGCCTTCACGATGCGTTTGGGACTTAAGTTTTGGTTGCATTGGCATCTTGATGGACTGGGTTACTTAGAGAACATAATCAAAATGGATCAAAATGGCAAAAAAAAATCGAGAATTGTGGGGTGCCCAGAAAACAGGATTCGATCCGTTTTTTTGGTTGTTGCATGTTACGTACGTTGATGGTCAACGTTTTACATTGTCATACTTTTCGGTTTTACAATGCTGCATGGCCCTCTCGCCCCAAACATTTTATACTGCGCAAAAGCCACATTGATAGAACCCTCATGCATGGTTTAGAAACTACATTATATATTGATTGTCAAATTCTGATTTTATTTCTGCCGGTTGTTCTGTTTGATTTTGCGGCCCTGGTTTCAAACCCTACCACATGTTGTGATAATTGTTTATTTTTTTTTATTAAGTCCCTATTTATCACCGTTAGATCACCATAATATTGGTTGTTTTTTGTTGTTTCTTGTGTGTTTTTTGTTTGTTGTTGTTGTTGTTGTTGCTGTTGTTGACGCTCAAGTTGAGATGTGCGGCTGATCACGGCCACGAAGCGGTCTTGGAACTGCTCCTGCACGTGCGTACGCCGCGGCAGCCAGGGATTATGAGGAAGCAAACCGCAAAAGTGGGTCGCCCCACCCAATAATGGTGAACAATGGTGGTTTATATACCTGGAAGGTAACTACAATTTTCAATTCCAGCCCTCAATAAATCCCGTCTAAAAGGGGATCTTAAAATGAACAGACACACCACTGTATGGCCCAAATGGTTCATGCATGGTTTTTTACCACCCAAAATAAAAACATGGACCTGTTTTGTAGGTAAATGATGGTAAATGTACGAGTACCATGAAACGTTTGGGTAGGGATTATTTCAACGTCTATTTCAAACCAAAAACCTCATATGTTCATCTTCAGCCACTTGTGATGTTTGCATCCCAATCTTAGCAGCATCCATCAGCGATTTTGCCCAACCTTTGCAGGTGCGAAACTATAGATCAACTAGATCATTTATAGAATTCGTTGAAAACAAATGTCTCGCAGAATTCGTTGAAAACAAATGTCTCGCAACAGTCAACACACAATTGATCCATATTATCGTTCCCACGATTCGAAAAAAGAAACGCAGGTGACCCAAGGCGTTGAGGCCCCTCGCCTGAGAATGGTCCCCAAAAACGCTAAAACAACAGCCTTCTGGTAGACAGAAAATGACACGAAAGTGAGTCCATATCGTTAGTGATACCCAGTTCCACATGTGTTTTCAGTGCAAGTCTTTGCCATAAAAGTTTGTTTATCATGGCAAATTTGAGAAAATAATTTCAATTATGGTTCCAACCCCAAGTCTCTGATTCTATGTCATTGCAGTTTCTCCCAATGAACATTGCCTATATTAAGCACCAACAAAACAACAACAACGACAACAACAACAACAAACAACTCTCTCTCGTGGAAAAGACGGCTTGTAGTTTGCTGCCATGGCGAGTGTTTCCGCGTTCAAGACCGGTCTCTATGTGTTGGCTCTGCTGGTATGTGGGTCGCTAAACACCCTCACCATGAAGAAACTTGGTGCCATTGTCCTCAAAACGATGGCGGGGATCACAGCTTTATACTTTCCTTTTGGTAATGGGCCATGGGTGTTTCCAGAAATTAGGGGACCCTGAACCCATGGGTTTCAATACCAGATAGTCATTGGTTAACAGTTCAATTCTGGAATTTGGAGGGTTTGTGGGTTCCCCATGGTTCTTTGACATTATAGGACTCCAACACGTATCTCCAATTTGATGTTTTGTCATAACCCTCGCCATGATAAACATCATGCTAATTTGGGGACCTCTATGTTTCCATGTACTCTTATTTACATTTCCATACAATGTGGGTGCCTCAAACGATAGCTAAATTGGTCCACGTAGCTCCAATTTCAATAGGGTTCATGGGCTTTGTAAACCAAAAAAAACGTTTGGGGTCACCATCTTGTATATCTTATGCTCGATTCACGCAAAACCTACATCTTTGTCCCTGACCTGACTCCGAGGATCGCCTTTACGATGTCCGGCACGGTGGATGGGCAGACCCAACGCTTTGAAAAGCCATGGTTTATTACCTTCGTGATGTTGCTCGGTTACCAAAATCTGGGGAATACAATGAAGATACTGTAGATGGTTGCAAAATCCTGCACCAGTTGGTAGATGATTTTCAGCAAAATAATATAAAATAATCCCATTGATTACCGTGTTTCATAGTTGCGAATAGTTACCAACTGGTGCAGGATTGGTCCATCCGCAGTATAATGAGGATATTTAGCGTGGTATAGTCTCAGATGAAATTCCATGGAAACTAACCACGTTTTTTGGGTTTTTTATATGTTTATTTTAAGCTATGACCACGACGGTTGGTACATGAGTGGATATTTGACGCGAACACCTGGGCCTGATGAATATACAATGGAGATACATTGTGGAGAGAATTGAAATATTATGGTGATATATGGGAATATAATGTGGTTTAGTAGTTCTTAGCCACTGGAATGTTGGTTTAACCTATGAATATAGTGGTTGTTTAATAGGTATACGGTATAGTGGGTATATGTTGCGTGGCTTTAACTACCCAAAAATGGAGGGCTAATATTTTGGGGATGGGAATATGGTGGCATAGAATTGGAATTCAAGATTGAAAAGGGACCAACCATAGAATATAACGGTTTAAGCAACTACTGAAATGGTTTCCTGGGTTTGCAATCATGGGGTAATACTGGGGTAATCGATGCGATTTATATCGAGCAATATGATATTTTGGGTTTGTCCAGCATTTCGCCATATCCCCGTTTTATTGTTGTTTTCATGGGCAAAGTATTGATAAACAATGGCATCTATAGGATATCCTACGTTTAGAAAGCAAAATGTGGGCAAATGCGAGCAAATGTGGGGAAGTGTGGGCATGGGTCGAGACCTGTGAGACCCTGGCTCCTGCAGATGTTTGGGCAATTCCCAAATGACTTGACCCATATGCATGGGCACCCAAACTTCTCGGAAGTTCGCCAACACCCCTAATAGCCCTTTATTCAAGGACAACAACGGCAAACATATGAGGTCGACACATTTTTGGGGTCCAAGAATGGAAGATATCTCCCCACTTCGTGCCGTTTCAATGGAGAAAAAGGATCTGGTTGGCGGATCATCCCATGACGTTTGCACCATCCCGACCAACCATGACAGTCATGGGGGATACTGCGGGTAATTTATGGTAATTTTACATCATCCCATTTCTAGGGGTAAACGTGGGTAAACCCACTTTCATGAACCTCTAATTACTGGGGATGGTTTACCACATTTTACCACATTAGATGTTGCAAACTTGGAGACTTTCGAAGATGACTTGACAAAGTTCATGTTTACAGAGCCGAGCCCAGGTTTATGGCCATGTGCCTGGCTTTGCCCTGCGATTCAAGTGCCCTGGTTGCAGTTAGTGGGCCTCCAGGTTGGATAGCTGGTGCAAATAAGTCAAATTTCGCTGAGGTTTATGGTTATTGAAATGATTCATGGGGTGAAACGTGACACTCAACCAAGAAAGATAACGTTTGGGGGGCACCACCTTGTAGGATTGGGTTAATCTGGGGTCAGATAAAATAAAAATGGCTTCCTGGAGCTTCCCTGAATGATGAGGCAAGTGACTAATGATCATAGACCGGTTCATGAACGGCCCATTAAATTTCATAAATGCCATTCTCTACATAAACCTGATATTGATTGGTATGAATTGATTAACCCCTTTTGAGCCCTTTTGTATACCTATTATACATATAATATATATATACATCATTATATCATATGATATTCCCATTATTACTAGTTTATCCCCATGTTTTTCTAATGTGTTCCTCCAGCTTTTGGTGCTTTTTCTTATAAAAACACAGTCATGCGGATATCCCGATATCGCCGAAGGCATGTGGAAGTGCCGATCCGCGATGGCCAGTGAGCCGTTGTTGAGTCCTGCAGTGCCCTTGAGACGACAAAACTGGGTGCAGAACGGTTGAGATCACCGGAAGCTATGGGTTAAACCATGCTGTTGTGAATTATGTGAATTCTGTTGGTGAAAAAAAACGAAATCCAACATGGAACTGCATGCTAGTCCTGAGGTCTCCTAACATGAACCTATCGTACGGTAGTAATTCAAAACCATGGTTTAAATGTTGAATTATGTTCAACTGTTCACAGGAAAACTGTTAAACTAAGTCAAACTGTTCGTTTTTCCATGATGTTAAACTGTTCAGGGGAAACTATGCTGTTTCCTCACATCGAGGGTGTTCATGTTCAACCATACATTTTCCTTTGGTCCAATCCTGGAAGATGTGACTATGGAATAAAATTGGTGCACCCATTAATGCTAATATAAAATAAACAACCAGCCAATTCCAGCTATTTTGGTGTGACCAGATATGCGCACTTCCAGGTGAATTACACACTGGAAACAACATGGTTCCATGCCAGTTCTTAGTCCCCAAACTGAAAAGTGGCATGGAACATCATGGAACAATGGATAGCAAAAGGGCTGGCTTTGGAAGCTGAATTTCAATGAATTTCATATGATTCACCACTGCCATCCACTGTCCAATGATCTGCCGACTGTTGCAACCGCAGACGTCACGGGGATCATTCCGAAATGACGGCCCACGAGTAGCAGCCCCTTTCGTTTCACCAGTCGCTTCACTCACATATTATATATATATACCCCGGTCGATAGGTTATCCCAACATGTATTACTGCTTAAACTCGGCATATGGATCTTCCATATTTTTATGGTTGGTGAATCCCCCCCTTCCATGCCCCATGGCTAAGGTGCTGATGTCTCGTGATGCCGTGCAGATGACCTGGAGACAAAAGGCGCGGGCTGGCTGTGAATTTCACAGCCCAGATGTCCAAGTCGTGTTTTAGTTGGGTGAATTTTGAGACGATTTTCCCTTGGGAATTTAACATAGCTACGGATGGCCCATTGATATCAATCTAAAGATTATTTATTGAAAAATAATACTTGTCCGTAGCTATGTGAAATGACCAGAGGGTAGGTACCCTAGGGACCTAGTACTTTCACCCAGAAAAAAACAAAACGAAACGATAGAAAAGCAGAATCTAATTCTTACTAAAAAATGGCAATAAGTGACTTGTCCTTCTCTTTTGTGGGGTTTACTATATAGGTACCCTGGTGAACATTGTAAGTAAATGGGAGTGAAGATGCCCCACAGATTTGAAAATCCAGGTTTGATCTTTTGATTGAGGTTGTTGAGGTGGGTTTTGGAATGTGTTATTGGAGATGAAAATTGTGGAATGCAAAAAGCCAAGGTATATAAATGTATATAACGTATATAGATGCTGGACGGGCTCTTATGTTTTCAATAGGAAGTCACACATTCATGGATGTTCCTGCCCAATGGTATAACAGGTGTTGATCCATCTCAAATGATTCTTGTTGGTTATATATGACAATATATCGCATGAATTCCCATTATATCCTGGTGCCTATTGTTGATGCTTAATGCTTAATCCCCTTATTTATTGATGCTTAATGCACCATTCACCATTTCTGACCAACCATTTACCAACCCATGAAGCCCAGCATTTTTCATGGTTAACTCACCATTTTTCATGGTTAACTTCCATAAACCTTTTTCACATGGTTTTGATCCACCTCGGCGTGGGGCCGAGAGCGGTTTACCCTGCACCAGGTGGTCCGGGTCCTCGCCCCGGCGTCCTTCGACATCGGCGCCACGGGCCTTTGCTGCGCCCTGGCGTGGCGGTCTCGGGGTGCTGTAGGCATTGGAGGAATATGGAGGACTTTGACATAGTTTGACTATAGTTTGACTATAAGTTTGACTTAAGAAGTGGGATTTTTGTATGCGGACACATGGAATGGAATGGAATGAAATGGAATGAAACCAAGAGTAAGGTTTTAAGTCAACATGTGACACCAACCAGGGGTTGATGACTTTTTGTACCCGATCCAACTCCAGTTCGGCGTTCCTCCCACACTCTGCGAGTCGCTTAGTTCTGGTCATGTTCAGCGTCAAGGGGATCCTATCGTTTGGGGGCTCTAAAGACTTGACGGCTTGACTCATACACATTTACCAAAATTGTCTGACTGAAAATCGAATACCCCATTCCATTTCGATCTAAAAACAAGTTCTGATTTATCATATGTTCTTCCCTACTGAACCGCCACAAAACATATGAAATGGGATGGCTAAATCATGCTAAATCCATCATTTTAAGATCGCACCTATGCTATTTCACCATTCCAATTCCCAGTTGCATATATCTAGTTTTTCCTGAAAATATGCTATCACTAAATCCACTATATAAAGTGAAATCATAAATTTCTTATTAACATGGTAAAATGATGTAACATGGGTATACATGGGTAATCTTTTTCGGGGTATACTCCAGTTTCAGACACAGCACACTGCTTTAGGCCAGGGTTTTGCCGATTTTGCTCTCCGAGGTGTGGGTTTTTTGTACATCCCTGCGAGCGTTTGGCCACTGGGAACTGGAACTGGAACTCTTTAGAACTGGGGTTCCTTAGTTTGGTTGTATCATGTTGTATCTAATCCTGAAGGTTTAGGGTTTCCGGATTTAGTGATGTTTAATATTCAGGGGATGGGAGTAAGGTCCCTCAATGGGGGTCCTTGACATTGACGGGATGGGATTGTCCAATATTGAGCAGTTGTACGAGGTTCAATTCAGAAGGTGTTCACTGATAAACCAAAAATTTACCCAAACAGAGCCAATTTATCTCAATTTATCCGAGTTGCCAGATGTGTTTTTCACAACCTTCACATGCCGCACTGTGAATTCACAAAGTGTGGGCGATTTTTGAAGGGCACTGGCCCATCAGCTTCGGCACCAGGCAATTGCTCCGTGGAGCAGAAATTGTCTTTGCCTGGCTCCCCAGGAGCAGTACTCAGAAGCTCCGGTCGTCAACATGGCACAGGGGAATCCTGCAGAGGGAAATCAGCTGCAAAAGATATTTATATAATATATATATATCATATATATTATTTATATAATATATAATATATATATAATATATATATAACATATATAATATATATATATAATATATATGATATATAATATAGATAATATAATATATATATATAATAATATTTATATTATATATATATAATATATAATATATAATATATAATATAATATATATTAAATATATATAATATATAATATATAATATAATATATATAATATAAAATATACATAGATATATATAATATAGATTGATCGATGGCTAAATAGATAGACATTGCAAAGGCGGGATTGTCCATTAGCTGCTGGGATTGCCAGAGAGTCAATTTTTGTGCAGAACATGCTGGGAAGCTTGGCCGACAAAAACCTGCATGCTTTCCTCAAAACCGATTGATAGCTAGGTGGACAGGTAGACGATATACAGGAAGACAGGTAGCTAGGTAGATAAGTAGATAGGTAGATAGGTGGACAGAGCTAAGTAGATTGGTAGACAGGTAGACAGGTAGATGGACCAGGTAGATATGCCGGACAGGTAAATAGGTAGATAAGTCGATAGGTAGACAGGTAGACAGGTAGACAGGTAGCTAGGTAGATAAGTAGATAGGTAGACAGGTAGCTAAGTAGATAGACAGGTAGAAAGGTAGATGGATAGACAGGTAGATATGTGGACAGGTGGATAGGTAGATAAGTCGATAGGTATACAGGTAGACAGGTAGCTAGGTAGATAGGTAGATAAGTAGATAGGTAGACAGGTAGACAGGTAGATGGATAGACAGGTAGATATGTGGACAGGTAGATAGGTAGATAAGTCGAAAGGTATACAGGTAGACAGGTAGCTAGGTAGATAGGTAGATAAGTAGATATGTAGATAGGTAGACAGGCAGCTAAGTAGATAGGTAGACAGGTAGACAGGTATACAGGTAGCTAGGTAGATAGGTAGACAGGTAGATAGGTAGACAGATAGCTAGGTAGACAGGTACACAGCTAGACAGGTAGCTAGGTAGACAGGTATACAGGTAGACAGGTAGCTAGGTAGATAGGTAGACAGGTAGACAGGTATACAGGTAGATAGGTGGACAGGTAGATAGGTAGACAGGTAGACAGGTAGATAGGTAGATAAGTAGATAGGTAGAGAGGTAGACAGGTAGCTAGGTAGACAGGTAGATAAGTAGATAGGTAGATAGGTAGACAGGTAGCTAAGTAGATAGGTAGACAGGTAGACAGGTAGATAGGTAGACAGGTAGATAGGTGGACAAGTAGATAGGTAGATAGGTAGACAGGTAGATAGGTAGACAAGTAGATAGGTAGACAGGTAGCTAAGTAGATAGACAGGTAGAAAGGTAGATGGATAGACAGGTAGATATGTGGACAGGTGGATAGGTAGATATGTGGACAGGTAGATAGGCAGATAAGTAGATAGGTAGACAGGTAGATAGGTAGACAGGTAGATAGGTGGACAGGTAGATAGGTAGATAGGTAGACAGGTAGATAGGCAGACAAGTAGATAGGTGGACAGGTAGATAGGTAGACAGGTAGCTAGGTAGATAGATAGACAGGTAGATATGTGGACAGGTAGATAGGTAGATAAGTAGATAGGTAGACAGGTAGATATGTGGACAGGTAGATAGGTAGATAAGTAGATAGGTAGACAGGTAGAGAGGTAGCTAGGTGGATAGGTAGATAAGCAGATAGGTAGATAGGTAGATAGTTTCCTCGGTTTGTTTCCTCAAAACCCAATGATTGCAGCCTGGCAGCCCATGGCATGCCAGGCTGCCATCTTCTCCGTGTTTTGTCTCTTGCCGCACGTGTTGAGCCTCCATGGGCAACTCTGAACCCCCGCAAGGGGGGTTAGATGGGGCGTTTAAGATATCCATGATATGTTGAGGTCAGGTGTCAGTTTATATTTTGGGGTGTACACTACACTTTGTGGATTCTTGGACGCTTAGGATTCTAGCCACTGTCCAAGTGGACCCAGATCTGGTTTTTATGGCTTGCATTTGAATTTCTGGTTTTGCTTCTGAATTTTATTTCTTCATTCTTTTGGATGGTTCGTATACTATCTTGTAGATGAATAGATGGCAACATCAATTTTATAATGAGTTTTCCCATTATAAATGGTGATTTTCCATAGTTATGTTAGTTTACCAGAGGGTAACTTAAACTTTACCAACATCCACAGAAATATCGTTGGACATTCGACATGATTAACGTTGAGACCCCCTGATGGATCTGCCTCAGATGAGCCTCTGGCCTCGTGCCGGTGTTGAGAAAGGGGAGACACCCCATGGGACAACCAAGAGCTAAAGGCTGATGAGGACCTGGTAAATACCATAAATACCGGTAGTATTTCATTTTTTTTGAGTAGATGGTAGTTATAGATGGTAGTTAGAAAATTTCATATTATTGACAACATATAATTATCACATGCCATAATGATCCGAGTATAGTGTCATGACTAAAAATCCATCAACCACATGGGTTTTAACGACAGGGACAAACTTCCGTTTTTTCTGGGACCGATCCACCTGGGTGTTAGCTGGGTATCCTCTGAGGCCTGGGGCGCCGGCTCTATTGTTTCAATTGGATTGCCCTACTGCTTTGCGTTCTTGGCATCGTCTCTGTGGGTCGGGAAGCCCAGGCCCAGGAGGCCCAGGAGGCCCAGGACCCAAGGGAATCCAAGGGAATCCAAGGGAATCCAAGGGAATCCAAGGGAGGCTTGGAGATGACCCGGCACTGGAACCAGGTATTAATATTAATATACGTGTGACACCAAATGGATCCAAATGGTATCTGCAGCACATGTTTCTCAGTTGAGCTTTGGCCAAGCCCCGGACTTCGAGATACACAGCACCGGGAAGAACGTCTCAGGTTTGGCCAGCGTGTGGGGCGACGAAGCGCAGGCCAGAGCGTGAATTTCTGAGGCATTTCTATTGCACAAAAGATTTACAGCAAGAAAACACATAGAAAACAAAACCATACAACACCATTTTCTCTTCTGGCAATGTATCATATCAAAAATCTCTCTTATATTTTCTGACATATTTCTATCTGACATTGACACAGATATGGGGAAGCAACTCTTGGAAGGTGATTGATATTCAATAATTATCATCAATTCAATAAATATCAAGGACAATAATCTAATGCTATGAACCAATATGGCAGTGTGTCAAAACCAATAGTACCCCTGTAGTTCACATCAAAATAGCTGGGATTCATGGATGTTCATCCCACTAAAAATGGTATTAATAGGTATTGATCCATAGCCATATATATATATACAATAAATATCAATAAATAATCTGATTGGTGTTGTGATCTGATGTCAAGTCTCAACCCACGAGGCTTCAGCGAAAGGTGCCGAATCTGCGGTGTCGCTCCAAATTCTGGGCATCGGTCCGGCGGCCTGGAAACACCGGTGCCGAAAAAGGCTGTCAAGAGATATGGGTATGGATCAATACCTATTAATACCATTTTTAATGGGATGAACATCCATGAATCCCAGCTATTTTGATGTGAACTACAGGGGTACTATTGGTTTTGACACACTGCCATATTACAGTTGTGGTTACCCTCTGGTAAACTGTCCCATAGCTATGGAAAATCACCATTTTTCATGGGAAAATCCACTATTTCTATGGCCATGTTCAATAGCTATGTTAGTTTACTAGAGGGTATGACTTATCAGTTGTGGTTAGTCGCAAATGGTCAGCAATCACTGAAGTTTACCAAGTACTTCATGGCAGCTACAAGAAGTATTTGCTGCTTGGTGGTTTCAGACATGGCTTTTATTTTCCATTTCATATATGGGATGTCATCCTTCCCATTGACTCATATTTTTTCAAGATGGTTATTGCACCACCAACCAGTTTGTATGCCAACCAGGTATGTTTTGTTTATATATCCATATATATACATATTATATATCCATATATATATATATTGGCCATTCAATGCACCCGTCGTCATGATCGTCCCCATTAGCTAGTACTTTTGAAGCCTCTGCTTTTCAGGGGGACCATCTCAACGATCAAAATGTGGTCGTCGTATCGATTGACAAAAGCTCCCTTCATTGATCTTTGTTGAATATCCAATGTGTTAAAATCATTCATACCAAATCATATTATATAAATCCCCACATAAATCAAGAGTTAATCAAGCCAAGTCCCAATGAATCCAGGGTTGCTCCAAGCAACTGTAGGTAAATAATACCCACAAGGGAGGTTTAGTAGGTGACTTTCCCTACAATTTCTCTATAAATGGTTTTACCGTTTTACCACAAATTACCTATCAGTTCAATTACCAATTGGATTACCTATCAATTCGGATACCCAGTTATAAGTTGGTTTATAAATCCCATTAAGTATATAGCGATATATATCATAACGCATAGTTACTTAGTTATTGGAGTTATAAACCAACTTGCCTATCTTGGGCCCCACATTGTACCAATTGGGGGCTAGTCTTGCAGGTCTGGCTTTGGCAGGTCAGGTGGTGCAAGCGGCGCAGGCGTGGTGATGTTGGCTGGGTAACCGTGAAAAATGTGGGCTTTACATATGGTATCTATTATAGATATGTTATCTACTATCTTACCAGCCACTACATATATAGATAATTAATCTATATAGGCAGAATCTGATTGGTGGCTTCAAATATGAAACCCATGCATTGGTTTCAAGCATCGAAATTTGATGATGATCCTGATTTTCCGACTTTCAGGGGGTTGAAACCACAAACCAGTGATCAACGTACCACGCTTATCATTACATTGTCTGGGTTTAAACTCAATTTTAGTGGTAGGTAAGTGTTTATCATTGCATGTTCTGGGTTTAAACTCCATTTTAATGGTAGGTAAGCGTGTGTGACATGAGCCTTTTCGTAAGTATGGTGACGTGGACAAGCCAGTGCCCAACTATTTGTGATAAAATTGGAGATCCACACGTATGCAATGTTCCTGGTAACATATTTGGACAAACCTGGTATTAGCTTTGTAGTCGAATTGTTTTCCATGCATTCGCAAATCTATACAAAGCTGCTGTCAAAGATTAAGCAAGATTAGCCGCGCTGTTTATGTCGTAGTGTATTTACCTACAACGCATTTTTTTGGTGGGAACATTTTGATGGAAAAACCGTGCATGCTGGATATCAGATGCTGAAATGAATGAATATAACAGATATTAGCAAACAGGTGTGTCTGAAACACAGAAAGAAACATGAATTCCACAATATGATATATTAAGCATCATTAAACCTGACATTCCCTCACAACATCCAATAACAAACGACATACTAGACGGACACATGCCGCTCCCTCGGGGCGATGATCATGAATTCTTGCTGAACTCAGATCTATTTGATTCTTCCGTATAATGACTCCTAAGCTGGCAGTGTGAATTGGGTTTGCCTAGAGACAGTCAAGAGCTTCAGAGAGTATGTCTATTTAGCAGACAAGCCAGGCTATGATCTTTGGATGAAGGACTTGTCGATCCAGGGGCACAGGACATATAACATCTCGGAAGGAGGCCGTTCGCACTTCCAAGTTGTGAAGAAGCACGAAAGACGGGTATGGTATGGTTCAATACATTCAATACATGTCAATACTTTGGACTTTAGACCCTGAGACCTTAGAATCTTGGTCATGTAGTCATTTATGTTTTCATCATGATTTTGCTTTGAAAGAAAGGCGTGGCAAGCTGGTCCCCTACTGCTACTTTGAATGGCGTTGTAATCCAAATTGCCTACTAATTCCCAGTGTCACGTCCTTATAGCGTGTTGTGGTACAGATTTCCAGCTACTTGGTAGCATTCTTGTACCCAATCATAGATGTCATTATGTCCAACTGGTGGTTGATCCGAATCGTGGAGGGATAACTCCGCATTTACAAGCAACATGATGTGGTCAATATATGTCAATATTCTATACCAGTCCCTGGCCCGGTCCATTGTGAGGACTTCATCGGGCTAACGAGTTTTCACCCACTTGCCCTAGAATATACCATGATATTATATAATATTTAAATATGTATACAGAATATAATATATATATACAATTATATACATATATATATATAGTAATATAGTACATAGGTATGATGTCCGAACATTGGAACAAACCTCGGCGAGGTCATCGCTGAAGAGTGGCTCTTGAAGGACGCCTAACCCCGGGGGCGGGCGGCAACGGCGACTTAACGGGTCGAGATTCGAAATCGTGGATTTTCCCATGATTTCAATGGTGGAGATTTTCCATAGCAAAATGGGACAGTTCACCAGAGGAATACTCTTTGGCATTCTGTTTCTGAATTTTTTGGAGGAATTTTTGGAGACTACTTACTCACAGCCCACTCGGCGATAGAAGCGATAGAATCATCTGCATCACAGCATCTGCCTGAGGGTATGAGTCATTCTGGCACCCGGTCTGGCATCACAGCAGATGTCCGCCAGTGCTTCCGCTGGCTATGGAGAGCCAAGGGGGTCGGACATGATTGATCTTCATGTGGTATGCCTGAATGGTGAAGGATGGACGTTTAAACTTAGTCATTCCACTCTGGGGAGCCAAGTGCACGGGATGGTTTCCAAGCACCTCCCAGTCAAGAAGTCAAGAGAGGTGCAAGACTCACTCTGCCACACATTGATTCACCTTTGATACTTCAACAAACGTTGATCGAGCAGGGAATTGTGGGAAAGGCAGCAACGCTTTCGTGCACGTATGTTCCAAAAACCCTTAATGCTGCATGGTGCTATCTCCAAGGAATCCCAGTCTGTGACGAAGAGCATACACTAGAAGGGGTCGCAAAGATACAACTTGCAACTGCAGCTATTTTGCCGAATCTGAACAATCCTCCAACAAGCCTTACCAACTTGACATTTGGAGACATGTTCAACCAAAGCTTGCAAGGAGTGATCCTGCCAAGCAGTCTTCAAAGCTTGACATTTGGAGAGACGTTCAACCAGAGTTTGCAAGGAGTGACGCTTCCTAGCAGTCTTTAGAGCTTGACATTTAGACACACGATCCGCCGAAGCTTGCAAAAAGTGGTGCTTCCTCGAAGTTTTCAGAGCTTGATATATGTAAAAGATTTCAACCAAAGCTTGCAAGGAGTGACCCTGTTCAATTAGAGATTGCAAGAAGTGACCCTGCCAAGCAGTCTTCAGAGCTTGACATTTGGAGAGACGTTCAACCAGAGCTTTCAAGGAGTGACGCTTCCTAGCAGTCTTGAGAGCTTGACATTTGGATACACATTCGACCAGAGCTTGCAAGGAGTGACTCTGCCAATAAGTCTTCAAACTTTGACATTTGGCCAATGTTTCAACCAGAGCTTGCTAGGAGTGATCCTGCCAAGCAGTCTTCAGAGCTTGACATTTGGAGACATGTTCAAGGTTCGACCAGAGCTTGCAAGGAGTGACGCTTCCTAGCAGTCTTCAAAGCTTGACATTTGGAGAGACGGAGAGACGTTCAACCAGAAATTGCAAGGAGTGACGCTTCCTAGCAGTCTTCAAAGCCTGACATTCGGCCAATTTTGCAACGAGAGGCTGCAAGAAGTGGCATTGCCATGTTGTCTTCAGAGCTTGAGATTTGGAGCCAATTTCAACCAGAGCTTGCAAGGAGTGATCCTGCCAAGCAGTCTTCAGAGCTTGACATTTGGAGATAGGTTCAACCAGAGCTTGCAAGGAGTCGCCCTGCCAAGCAGTCTTCAGAGATTGACATTTGCCAATAAGTTCTACTAGAGCTTGCAAGAGTATTTTGTGGCGCTTGACGCGTTGCGATCAAGTTTTCATGATGATGAGTGAAAAGGCGCAGTATTTCTGATGTTGTTTGTTTGTAATTTATTGGCTTCTCCACAAGGTTGTCCCTTCTCCACATGGTTTCCCTGTTTACAGGAGTACCTTGCCTGTGGACTGTCAGTGCGAAATCATTCCAATTGGATCCTGTCACTATAATGCTTGTTTTGTGTTGAGGTTTGTTCAAAACCTCATGATAATTCTAGAATTCTAGAATTCTAGAATTGGTTGAAACATGTTGAAGCATGTTGAAGCCACCAGTAGGCCACAAATCAATTCTGCATTGTCAAAGTGTCCTACATGCAATCGTCCCACCAATTCAAGCGTTCCTTCATAGTTCCACCGATAGGTTCCATGATCTTTGGTGGTTGTTGCTCTTGATTAAGGCTATGGTTGATTTAATCTATGATTGCGGGTAGATACAGAGACTAGAAACAGAATGAAACATACAGCAGATGTAGATTGATATTGATAAATATAGATGCACATGCGAGGTTCGATATAGTTCGATCTACTTACTGTGTGTGTAAAGCACATGTCCTCACCCCTTGTGCATGTTGCTGTTTCGCCATCAACAGCATGTACCCCATCTTTGTATGTGTTCTCGAAGAAAAGTTTGACATGAACAGAAAGTCCCTTGCAAACTGAAGGCTTTTGCAATCTCCAGTGAATGCCCCGGACACAAAACACCCATATCAGATTTGAGGTCCAGCATGGGACCTCTTTGTTTGGTTGGTTGAAAGTTGAAAGTTGTCTTAGCTGAATCCACCATGGTTACTATTCATTTGTTTTGAATCCGGTTTTCCTGCTTGAATCTACTTTTCTTGCTCCAGTATGCTTCAGTCCTCCTTTTTTCTTCATAAATCCGCCACTGTTCTTGATTAAATCCTCCATGTTTCCTTGGCAAAAAGTTCTTGGTTTATTGGTTGTATGAATACCCCATCTGGCTAAATCTGGCACTAGTTTTCTTGTTCAAACAATCAATGATTGTGAAGCGATTCCTCCATGCTTCTTACATGAGCCCTATGATACTTTAGCTCCTCCATGTTTGCTGGTTATGTTATCTAAATCCTTTGTGTTGCTTGGTGAATTGCCCCTTTTTGTTGGTGGTTTATAATGTTTGTTTGATTGCAGGCCCCCGCGTAAATTAACATAGAGCTTGGCAGATAGGGGCTGGAAGCTTCATTTCCACTACAGATATGTTATTTTCAGATATTTTCAGGGTCAACAAGTTAATTTACCAGAGGGTAAGCAAGTGAACTCCTCCATGATCGTCAGGACGTGGATCTACCTGGCCTGCAGGTGCTGCGGATTTGTTACCAGGATCCCAATGGTGATTTCATGGGAGTTTCATAGGGCTATGGTTATTGTTATACTGTTATACTGCTATTGTTACTTGATGAACAACATACACTTGATATCACTTGATTACAGATGTATTATGTGTCACCCATTTATTTTTGGTCTTCATGCCGGGTATCCGGGTTTTGACCCATATGTATATATATATATATATACATTGATCCAAGTTCCAGTATCTCATTTATTGTTAAGCTCAAGTTTTGCAATGGCACATACTCCGCACGGCGCATGACGATTGCATGCTGCAAAGCACTTCCACAAAAAACGATCAGTCCTTGTGAGGCAAAGTCTCAAGACATATCAATACATTTAGGGTTGTTCCGATCGATTATGGCTAAATGATAGGTGTAAGGGAGATAAATAGATCATTTGCCCTTTATTTACCACCTGTGTATCTAGGGCGTTGGGAGTTAAATAGGCTGGCTTAGAACATCATGCTCCCTATGACTCATGTTTTTTTAATACTCAAACTTCAAACATATTCCATGGCTATAAATGGGATTATATACTCCCTGAAAAGTTGGAACTGGTTGGAGACCCTCCCCAAAGGTGGTGGGCTTCGAAGGAATTTGGGGTGCCCTTTTGATGCCGGGAGGACTCAGTGGCGGGAAAATGTGGCCCAAGGGGCCCGACAAGTTTTGACCGGCACCCAAGTAGGTAGAGGGAAGTCGACAGAACAATGCTGTTCAAAGAAATAAGGCTTTCAATACAAGAACACCTGCTTCAAGCATGTAAACCAACCAATCCTACTGAGAAAATTCAATTAAGGCCACATGGATCAGCAATTCGATTAGGATCTGAGATGGTAAGCCGGTTGCCATGTGCCATGGACGTCTGTGTTTGCTAAAAACCTGGGTCCAGTCAAAACTGTGCATTGGATCAAGTGGGACCGGACTGAGATGATTCGTGAACTTGGCTGCCAATAAGAAATTATAGCAGTAGTACCCTCTGGTAATTTAACATAGCTATTGAAAATTGCCATTTATAGTGGATTTACCCATTGAAAATGGTGGATCTTTCCATAGCTATGTTAGTTTACCAGAGGGTATTAGTCTTGGTCACCGGGGTAACTGTTGTTGTTTCCAGTTCTAAGTTCTCAGAGTCCACATGTCCACTCCATGTTTGATAACTTTAAGTCGGGGGTTATTCTTATGGTACCACCCCAAAAAAAATGCTTCTAAGGATTTTGCTGGCCCTTTCGTAGGTTTTGAGGATTTCCAGGTATGTGTTTTCCTATGTTTTTTTTTCTGGATTGTTTTTGGAAGTAGCACATGGTTGGGTTCCAAGGGGGTGGTATTATAATATGTATCTATAATAAATATATATATACATATATTATAAATATTTATTTATTTATTACTATATGTTTTACACTTTTTGTTTTAATCTCAAATGCAACAAAGATACCTTCATCTGAAGCATCTTGGTTGTGTCTCCTTGCAACATCTATGGAGCTCATGGAAACGAGGTTGATGTTTGTGCTGCCAGCGGTGCAGATGCTCCCGGGGCAACTCGGACCTTGGTGTCAAAATCTTGTACCCCTGTAGTTCACATCAAAATAGCTGGGTTAAAATGGATGTGAATAACCCACTAAAAATGGTATGAAAATAGATATTGATCCATATCCATATCATTTAATACTATATTAATTATGTGATCAATATTCACGGTACTGTAGCACCACAAATCCATTATACTATATATATACTATGATTTTGAAGCCCATCACTTGATTTTTTTCAAGATCACATATTGCTGGGGAGATTTCACGCTGCTCCACCAGCCCCGAATCACCATTTTGTTTGGCGAAGTTCCCATTTTTCCGCTTCGATGCCATGTTTTTTTCTGGTTGAATCCTTTGGCTCATTGAATTTACCAACGGAAGCGAGCTTAAGTTGGCCAAGGAGTGACCACGGCCATGTGGAAGATGAACTGGACATCATTCCATTGTTGAGGACAACAACGGCTACCGCTGGGATCGGTTTTTTGGGTCCGAATGGCTGATGGGTGAGATTCACCGAATATTGGGCCACCATCATTTGGGGGGAAATATTGGGGATGGTTTATGGCTGAGGTTTGCCACAGACATAGACCATCATAGACTCATAGACCCTGAGAATCGCTCAATTTTTGAGTTGGTCTTTGTTGTATAGTGGGGGGATGATACAGAACTTGGAAGTCAATTGCGGGGGTAAACCTTGAATCTGATTCAGCCTCTAAAAAGGGTGAGATTCACCCAAACATAGTCGATAGTTTGATACCAGAATTGACAGATTGGTTTTCAAGCTTGACCCAGACACCCATAGAGTAAAATCATGTAAACCCATCTAGAGCTCGTTTGTGGCTTCGTTGCTTCCTGCTCAATGAGATGATGATCCCAACGACGTAAACCAGATGTATCTTGGCCAAGCCCCCTCACCAAACAAGTATTGTCCAAGGATGGCCATTTGATGAGATCTTACATGCATTCACATGCTATGGCCCTGGTGCCCAAAATAAACAGGTTCAAAACTATATGTACGTATGTGTATATATATATACACATACATGTATATATGTATTTATATGATGTGTATATATATATATGTTTGTATAGATATACATACATATAATATATATATATAATATATAAATACATTTCTATACACATATATATATATACACCGTATACCCATATTCTACCCGGTGCATCCCAGTGCCCCATTTTTGTAATGTAAAATTGTGGCGCGCGGGCGCGCGGATTTAGGAGCAACTCGATGCTCTTCTCATTGATTCTTTTGTATACCTTCTCTTGCGTTCCTGGGCGACTGGTACGGCCTTCACAGCTATGGCAAAATGCAAAATGCTAGAGTTGGTTGGAAAAATCCCATCAAGGTTGGGCTTTCACCATGGTACTATGGTTATAATTATATTTGTTACAAAAAATAAGGATCCCAACCGCCCCCCCCAAAGTTAATATGATTTTATGATTTACACCCTCTGGTTATTTAACATTGCGAACTGGAAGCTGCCCATGAAGATAGATCATGAATGATGCTGATTTACCGAACACAACTGGTTGGTGGTTTGGAACATGTTTTATGAATTTCCATATATTGGGAATAATAGTCCCAACAAACTAATATTTTTCAGAGGGGTTGAAACCACCAACCAGTTAAACAATTTGATAAAAGCCCAGTTCGCAAAGCATTAAATCACCGGCCAGATTGTCAGCCGGGGGAACAAACACTCAAAGAGGTCCATGCAGAAGACGATTTCCGTTTAACAAATTGACAGATCTTGGATATCCAGTTTTTTAAAATATATGCTATACTGTAGATGATCTTCCTGGGAAAAGGATTGGTTTCCCACGTTTGTCTCAATTTAGATGGCATACAAACACTGCAAATATATGCAAATATGACTAGCCTTATGTGAGTGCATTTACCAAATAACTGCAACAAGGGGCCCCCATCACTCCCCTAGCATTGTGGTTCTCAAGACTTGGGAGAGACTTGGGGACCCGAAAATTGCTGCGTCTCATGAAATCACCGCAGGTTTTGGACCCTTCTTTCATCATGAAATCACCAGTAACATCGCTGTTTTTTTTCCTAATTTTCTCGCCGTGTTGCAGGGTTCCGCCAAGCCATGGCCTAATTTTCTAGCCCCACATGGAGAACTGGATTTTGCCGATGCAAAACTGGGCCGTTTTTTTGTCGTATCTGGGCTGCCAGCTGAAAAGAATGGGGATTAAATGCTAAATTTTAAGTAATCCCAGTGAAGCATAGTGAACCTGAACTTGGGGCTTAAAGACCTTAATTACGTTTTTTTTCGCAGGATTCAACAGGCATAAACTTCTGAGGCCACCTACAACATCTCCGGCATCGCGGTGACGGGGGCCTTGTCAGCAGTGCATCGAGTGATGCTGGAGGCGAGCTTGTCATAGAAATAAAACAGTGAAGAATCTGGGAAAAAACAGGATTGATATACTAAATATGGATTAAATATGGATAAATGTGGAGAAGGACTAACATTTTTTTTTGGACAAACAACTTAGATTTAACATGATTTAACCATCAATCATGAGTTTCAATGGTTACATATCACTGGAATATCTTGAATGTTGTATTAAACCAGTGTGTAAAACTGTCGATGTAAACCTTGAGGATCCCAGAACCATATTTGATAGACTGGTGAAAACTACAACTGAGCAGTGGCTGTTAAACCTCAGCTTGATGGGTTTTTAATGGAATCTAACCTTCGACTGTGAGGATTAACCTTTAATGATGGTTGGCCAATGACTGTGAGGGAAATATGCTACCCAAACAATATTGTGATTTTTTATCGTAGTCCATGAACTGGGAATTCCTTATACTCGAATGACAGAGACTGGTTATGTATGGGTATCCCAGTATCCTATTTATACAAAAATATACTTATATAAATGGATACAATTCCATACATGGTTACCAGTGCATGTGTTTTTCCTTCTTTGGTGAAATATGACATTATATAAATATGTAAATGTATATATATATATTATTATATTGTATGGGTTATACGACAGCCAAGGTATAGGATGTCATGGTATATGACGGGTTGTTCCAAGAATTGCGGGAAAACCTCAAACTCCAGAAATCAACTGGTGAATTGCCAGTCTCAAAAGGAAAAGCATTTGGACGGGTGGGACTTTCAACTGCCTTGTTGGGTTGTTCCTGGGTGGACCTGGGTAGGTGAGAACTTCGTTGTTTATTTCTTTTGCCACAGTGTCTGCCATAGATCTGTATTAATAACAATAGTTTATAGCAACCTCATGTTGTGGCGTGACTGGAATGATGATTAGTAAAGTACAGTAATTATATTATACAGGGAATCATGTTCGCAGGTTGGAGAATTATTTGCAAATATTGTGTTTTTTTTCCTTGCTGGGTATCTAAATAAGCGTGAATGAGAATATTCATTCACAACAATACATTTTGACATTTTGAGGATTATAACAACATATAACAACCATTATGAAATCTTAATGTTTAAGAGGAGATGAACGGTTCTATCAGAGTCGATCCTGATTCTCCCTTTGAACATCACCTGATATTTTTGGGGCAATCACTACCAGCAACCAATCTAAGGTTGTTTGTTCAAAATGCTTAAGCTGGGAGATTTGTAATCCCTTGATTTTCAATGATATAAGTAGTTAAAAAAACCATCAACTGGGTAAACTGGGTAGACCGTTTGCAAGTGTCCTTTACTTCTCTGCTTGGTGACATTGGCCCTGCTATCAGTTTTGACCGTGCGTTCGCGCAGGCTCTACGAACCCTGATCGTTTGGGCCTTTGGTTTGCCACTGGGCTCTCAGCGGAAGCCAGACCTGTTGGAAAACATGGAAATCAATGGTGTCCTTTGGAACTGATCTGATTACAAATGGTAGATGTCATTGATTTTCCATATCAATGTTAGAGTATAAATAATAACCTCCAAAAGGATAGAGAAGTCAAATCCCACTTAAAGATAGTGGTGAATTAGTTTTCTATATTTTTTTGGGGTGTTATACTAGAAGATAAACCTCCGTTTTTTGGAAATCACTCTTTAATTTCTTGGGGGAATCAATTCACATCCATGATGTATTACGTACTACACATCCCAGACAAATGGGCGCAGAAGACTGTTTGAAGCCTTGAACATGGATTTTTTCCCGTGCAGTCATGGTACTAATTATAGATTTCAGACGTGTAGACTGACCCAGCAAGCGGGTTGGATCTTTTTCACAGCCAGATTCCCATTGATGCTGCAACTCTTGCAATACTTCCATGTCTTGTTGGTAACAAATATATATATATATATATATATAGGCACGTTGCAAAAGTCCTAACTGTTCAAACATGAAACTTCTCTACATAGTCGGATCTCATTGTTCCCGGTGAACATGGCTAGCGGCGAGTTACGATTGACGCGCCGATCTCCAATGCTTCAGGTGGGTTCACTACTGCGTTGATCGCACTTCATTGATGGGAGAGGTTTGGACGACTCTTGGCAGACAGGACGATGGTATGATCCTGCTACTCATGGTTTGATGCCACCAAGCATGCTTAACAGTCTTAATTGCATATGCTTCATATAACATCAAAAACCGTGTGGCTGATGTTGAATTTGTGTTTGGTTTTTGCAGTACCTACACAACTTTTGGGGAGTTTAGACTTATCACCACGTTCCAAAAAAATATGTTATGGCTACCTATGATGGGTTTTATCATCTTACAAGCAACGATCTAAGTACTTGGGATGATCCTGAAATTGATAAAGCAAAAATGCAAAATACGTCGCTGGCAGTGGGTGAGTTCAGCACAACTGGCATGGAGTTGCTGTTTGAAAACTACCCCGAATGGCATGAAACATGGGAAAAAGACAAACTACTCTCCAGTAATCAAACGTGGCAATTGAAACTCATCTATTTATAGTTGATTTGTCCCATTAAAGGCTCCATTTATAATCAATTTGTGTGGTGTTCCAGTTGCCATGTTTGATTACCGGAGGGTAACCATCAAAGCCGTAGGGCGGGGACGCAGCTCCGGCTGACTGTCCCGAAAAAAATGGCCTGACGATGCCAGGAAGTGGAGCTACCTGGAGGCGCCGGACCCTGAAAAGCGGTCCGGAATGGACTGGGCTACCTACGGGTTTGATGGTTACCCTCCGGTAATCAAACATGGCAACTGGAAAACCGCAAAAATTGATTATAAATGGAGCATTTCATGGGAAAATCAACTATAAATAGATGATTTTCAATTGCCACGTTTGATTACTGGAGAGTATAGTTCAAAAACCAGCCATCAACATGCTGATGACTTGGGGATGGTTTATGAAATTGGGTTTATTGAACATTGCTGAACATGAATAGAACCTTAAAAAAACTAAGCTCTGATAATTTAAGATAGCTACGAAGAAAATTGCACGTCTATAGATGAATTTCCCATTAATCATGGTGATGGTCCATAGCTATGTTAAATTACCAGAACGTAGACCTTGACTGGTAGGCTAATGTTGGTGGTTGCCAGCAAGTGAATTGCTGGCAACCTTTCTGGCCATGAAATCTGGGCATTGCGTCCAGTTGGACATCCCCAAAACAAGTGAACCATGGATTGTCAAACATGCTCAACAAGATTTCCCCCTGCATCCCCAGTTTGTGACCCATACTGGTCCATAGTTACATGGAGGTTTCCTAAAAATTTTAGGGGTTACCCCTGGTTATCATCCACATTTTCTGTTGGAATGTGCCATTATTAAAATAAACCATCGCTATTGGGGTAGCCGCTAATGACTGGCTGGGTTTCCCACCATGGCTGCCATGGGATGATCAAGATATATCTGGCACATGAAAAACAGCAATTTGGCTGAATCTTCGTAGTCAAAAATGGTGCCACACTAAAAATTGCCAACGGCCATTTCTCTCGAAGGCCATCACTCGGCTCCACATGTCCAGTGGCGATGTGGATCCATGGACTTCCGCCACATGGCGTTTGGGAAGTGACCATTGGTTGCTTTAAGAAGTTGGCACCAATTTGAAGGGTGCACCGTTGTGACCATGGAAAACCGAATCATTGCAGGCCACCGCTGTCGCTCCAAAAATCGTTGCTGCATGGCGTTGTATCCAAGGATTGCCAGACACAACCCGGGAGCTTGCACTGGAGGGGGGGACACAGACAGAGGGTACAACCATAGCAATGTTTAAGTATTTGAACAATCTGCCAAAAACCCTTGAAAGCTTGACATTTGGCGACAGTTTCAACCAGAGCTTGAAACAAGTGACCCTGCCAAACAGTCTTCAGAGCTTGACATTTGGCAATCGTTTCAACTGCAGTCTGGAAGGAGTGACGCTGCCAAGCAGTCTTCGGAGCTTGACGTTTGGACTTAGTTTCAACATGCTGTATGAAAAGAGTGAATCTGCCCAGCAGCCTTCGGTTCTTGACCTTTGGCTTCAACTTAAACAAGAATCTAGAGCAAGTGACCCTTCCAAGCAGCCAGAATCTAGAGCAAGTGACCCCTCCAAGCAGTATTCGGAGCTTGACGTTTGGCCATAGTTTCAACCAGACTTTGGAAGGAGTGACCTTGCAAGGCAATCTGCAGAGCTTGACATTTGGACATGATTTCAACCGGAGCTTGGAGCAAGTGACCTTACCATGCAACTTTCAAAGCTTGACATTTGGGGAAGGATTAAACTGGAGCCCCAAACGCGTGGTCTTGCCAAGGAATCTACAGTGCTTGACATTATTGTTGGAATGTAAAGGCTGTAATCGAAGGAGTGACCTTGCCAAGCACTCTGCAGAGCTTTGACATTTGGCCACTTTTTCAGCCAAAGCCTTAGAGAAGTGAGATTTCTACGCAGTCTTCAGAGCTTGACATGTGGGTACGGTTTCAAAGTGTCAACCAGGTCTTTGAAGGAGTGAACTTGTTTTGCAGTCTTCGGATTGTTTGATTTTGTTCAGGGTCAGTAGCTTGTGTCTTGCCTGCTCAAAAATGGGAGGAGGAAAGACACATGCTGCAATTGGTAATCCTTCTTGTTCAGCCTATTTGCAAGTTTGTTGGTGGACCATTTCTGTGTGTGTGTGTTTTCTTGAGCATTGTTGCTTACAAGTTGTGTTCCAAGTTTGTCCTTCGCATGTGCTACGTACGCTATCCAGTCCGCATTTGGGATCGTTGGGGTATATTATATATATTATATATATTACTATATATATATATGATAATTGTTCCCGCTATACCGTATATCGAGTAATGGATCTTTTTTTATGACCATCGATGGAAGAATTTGTGGAGCGCTGTGAGCCCGTATGTTTTTGGTGTGTTTTTGAGCTACCTATCTTCTGTCTGGCTGAAACCTGCATGAACCATCAAAAACCCATGTATTTATATTAGTATGACAATACAGATCATATTTACACTTAAACAATATAATATATATATATATAATATTATAGAATAATTATAGAATAATATTAATATATATATATATATATATATTATAGAATAATAATAATAATGATAATAATAATAATAACAATAATATATATATATATATGCATAGATAGTATAATAATGATAATAATGATAATAATATATATATATACACAATATGTTTTATATATTACATGATAAATGGATGTACATTATATATATATATATATTACTTGTACATTATATATATATATTATCATATGATATCATGATATCACCATGTGGTTCCCCACGCCACCAGGTGGCTGGTTTTGTGTTGCTGGTGCTGGGTCAGATGATCTACGGCGAGATGCTGAAGGTGGGTCATGGGTGTTTTTTTCAATGTCCTTTATGTAGTTTGGATTGATGATGTATAAAAATGTATAAAAAAAATGATATTATTTTTTCAGATATCTAATGATATCTATTATATAGAATCTATGTAGTTTGGATGTGGGGCCCTGGGTCAAAATGTAAGACCCAGGGCCCCAGACCGCAGATGGCTTAGTGGCTTAGTCTAGTTTTAGTGTCAACTATCCAATTATTGGGAGATCGAATTTTGACCCATACGGTTGTAATTATATTTCGGTTTTTACCAAGAATTTCAATGAAAAATATGATTCACAAGATGCGACAAGTCGCTAAGTCACTAAGCTGACCTTTTCCCATTTGTTGGTTGATAGATGGGTCATCCCCATTGAACACCCATCGACGGTAAATTATGATACTGTAAATGATCTCCAAGCTGGCCCATCGACTTTTCTCAAAAGGACATCATTGAGCTAAGTTGGCGCAAATAAGCTGGTTGACTTTTTGGTTTATGGATGTTTTTGGGGGATGTAGTGACATTTACTGTTATGTTTATAGTGAATACTACGGGTTTATAGATTCATAAACCAACTTATAGCTTGCAGGCCTCACCATAACCAGTGCTTTGGACGGAGCGGAGAAGCTAGATTATGCATGAAGAAATACTAAGAATAACATGGACACATAGAGTTATGTATTATGTTGCAAGATGATATAACATGTCGTAATGTGATTTATGTTGATTTATGTTTTTTCGTTCTGAACACCAGAACACCAGCAGAAAATCAGTTAGACGGGAAATTCAGTTTGGTCAAACGCAGCAAATCTAGGGTTTTATGCATGCTGATGGTGAGACATTTCAAACACCAGCCGTGGTGTCAATCAATGATCTGTTGTTTTTTCCTCATTGATACCCTCTGGTAAACTAACATAGCTATGGAAAATCACCATTTTTAATGCGTAAATCAACTATAAATGGTCATTTCCATAGCTATTTTGACATAACCAGAGGGTAGATGACAGAAGTTTGTCTTGCTGATTTCTGAATGGTGGATCACCATCAAATATCTGTCAAACTTGCTAAATTATTCAGCCAATCAAAGTCTCCGAAATGATGTGGCAATAGCACTTTGCTTCGTTTTTTCATGGCTTGATGTTGAAGAAATCCTGGATGTTCGCTAGAATCCAAGCTGCATCATTTCTTTTTCTACAATACCCTCAATTGAGCTGGACATAGGCAGGTTCCAGCTGCATTTGGGGTGCCATGTCGCCAGATTCCTGGGCTCTACTACCCACCAAAGGATGAGGTGCGTGGTGAGATGATGATTCCCAAATGACTTTCCTGTTGGAACCAGGGGGGGCTCAACCATCAACAAGAACTTGGTATTTTATTGTATGATAAATATATATATATGAATATTATATATATAATATATTATATTATATGTATATATTGTATGATTATATATATATATATTGTTATATGTATATATTATATGATTATTATATATATATATATAATATTATATGTATCTATTATATGATATATATATATAGAGATACTACGTATTGATATGATAGGATATGATAGCCTATGGTATTACATGATATATGAAGGTGAATTGGCAAACTTTGCCCCTCCTTTTGCCCGATTTTGGACATCGAACCCCGCAGCGATGGTTGAAGGTCAAAATTGGGTACCTCCCAGCGATTTCACGATTTTGAGTATGATCAATGGGAATTCCAGGATCCTAAAATGGAGGTACTGTACCATATAAGGCCATATTTTGGGGGTATATCCTCTTACATAGCCCTGAAATGGCCATTGATATGATCAAGATCCATTTCTAATGGCACGATTTATCAAAACTTGTTTTGCCGGCAGAAAAATCAAAGATCATTGTAGCTTTTAGTGATCACATCCATTTATCAACAATTTCTTCCACCATCATTCATTCACTAATTCCAACTATAGTACCCCCCAACATGATAATATGATAGAACAGTTGGAACCTTGGTGAGTATGAGGTAAACATCAGATTATCCTGGAACAAAAGATGTCTACTATTTGTTTGGGTCCCCTTATAAATCAGTAGTGATTACTTCCCACAATTATGTATCCCACATTAAAATTTCATTTATACCACCCGAATACAACATTTTTCTCAGAGTCCCCATTTATTCATATGCTCAACAGATAGATCCATTAAATCACTTGTAATCCCATATCATTTCCATGAAAAATATCCATAAATCACAGAGAGTCATCACCACAGATCCTTAACTATAGTCAATGTCAATCATAGTTAATCCATGTTAATCCCATAGTTCTCCCATATAATGTATACTTAATAGTCATCCCCATTATAATCCCACGACTTGTAATCTATATTCATGTTCTTTACTATATTCATTAAATCCATCACAGGTAGTATCCCCATAGATATCGCAATCTTAGATAGATAGATAGATAGCTATCCCCATATAGTTGATAGATCTATAATTATTTTTTATATCCCTGGATCGCAAGGTTATACCTATCACATCCTTAGATCTATGTTGGTATCTTCATAATCACCATGAAATCACCATGAAATCACCATCCCCCCGTGCAGGTGGAATCCGTGATGGCCTCTCCGGGCGCCCTGCGGAATTTGTCCTCCCCGCCGCTCGACCTTGGATGGGGGTATTGGGGCGGCGACCAAGCCGATGGCGCGTTTGCGATGGCGAAAGACTGCTGAATTCAGCCTTTTTTCTGCTGTCAAAAACGGGATTTGATTGGCAAAAACGGGATTTTTTTGTTGATTTGAGTAACAAAAACTGTTGACTTAATGGGACTTTAGCCCACAAAAATGGGAATCTAATCAATCGGGGATCAACAATAGATCCACCACTGAGGCGTTCATGTTGGTCGAATCGTCGTGTTCTTTGTGTTTTTGTTGCATCCCCATGAATCTCGTTGGTTATCTCATGTTATCCCCATAAATAAACACACACATGGACATCAAATGACATCAAATGACATCAAATGACATCAAATGACATCAAATGACCATATATGCCCCTGTGTAAATGATTTTATTGGACTATGGATTGAACATCGGATGAACATCAACGACGACCAGCTTTATAGTTTGGACATGTTTGGACTGAAAACCCATGGATATCAGTTTTCGACGCATATCAGGATGCTGTTTCCCATCGACTTTCATCGTGCCATGTTTGGTGATTTACATCCCAAAAAAAGAATGCCGAAAGTTGCACACCTGGAAAATATAAGGGGAAAACATCGTTGAAGTATATGATATCAATATGTATATACTGTATATATATATACATTGTGTATCATATTATATTATCGTATAAACTTATACCTATGCAGCGATATAAATTGTATGTTTTTTTTTCTCTAGGGCATATATTTTTTTCATCCAGCCGTTTTTCGCTTCGGAAAAGTCGACGTTCTCGGGTTCGCAAGTTCGACCCCGCCCAGGGTTCCACGCACCTTCAGTCCAAGAACTGCAGATTCTGAGGAGAAATAGTTCCAGTGATCCAGTGGATCCTGTTTCAATAGATTGACCTTTCAAGATTAGCTTCTGGTAAACTAACATAGCTATACAAAATGGCCATTTATAGTTGATTTACCCATTAAAAATGGTGATGTTCAATAGCTATGTTAAATTACCAGAGGGTAGCGCGATTTGGCCATAGAACATCTGAATATTGACAGTTAGAAAACACTGGCCATGCCTAGTTTGCAGAGGAAGATCATCTTTTTTTAGCTGCATAGTTTTCTGGGAGGACTGCTGTTGAAATTAGATCTTTCCAGAGAACCCAGGCAATGTCCAATTTGCATCAAGTAAATTCTTCAAAGTACTGGTATGGGGTATAACATGGTATAACACTGTTAAGTTGGGGGATCCAAAATGCCTCATCTTTCCAGCGGTTTGACTAGTCATCCTGGACTCACCAGTGCTTAATGGCAGCGTTGCTTTGGGATACTGGAAAACTTTGAACAGCAGTTCTCCATTCTAATGGTTGTAAGTTGTATCATGTTTTAGCCTGTAACTTCTTGGTTTTAGGTCCCACAATCTGACAAGATCCCAATGCCCAAATCTTGGCGGAATTACGAATTCGGGGCACGGAAAAAACCAGACGAATCTAGACTGTGCCGAGGGATTTTAATATGTCCAAAACTGGAATGTTTAGAGGAAAATGACAATCATCCACTGAAGATTGCTGGTGTCTAGGTGTCTATATATGTTTGATCTATTTCTCATATGTGGTTTGCTATCCGCTATTTGTGTTGGAAGGCAATGTGTAATCACAAATAGTTTGTATTGAAACCAATGTCTTGGTGGTCCCTAATTTGGCCACTGTGAGCCCTGGAACAATTGCTTAACAGTGCTTGGCGTTTGGCCAAAAATCGCTGAGCACCTGGATTTGCTGTAAGAGACTGGAAGACCACAAGTGGTTTGTGATCTTCAATCAAGTATGGGTGACAGAGCTATATTGTGTATAGATTGTGACTTTATAAATTATGTTGACCCCTCTGGCGGAATGTCACTGATATGATGGTTACAGCAGGATTGAGGTAAATCCGAAAGTAGTCGAAATATTCATGTTAGTGAATAGCTATTGCATGTTATTCCTTGATTCATCATGATTTATCCAGATAGATCATGTTTTCTGTCCCAAACTTAGAGAGCTTTAGCCTGATAGAGACCATGCTTTGGCCTGACAGAGACAACCAGCAAACATTCGAGTTTGGGGCCTGATTTTTAGTAGCACAAAAAGATAGCTGTCAGTTGCCAGAGCAATGATCAGTCCATCCCAAAGCATCCAATGTGAATAATATCAGCTTCACGGATCCAGACAGAGGATGGTTGCGAAATCCTGCACCAGGGCGACTAGGTACGGTACCTATGAAACACTGTGAATCATGGGTCGCAATGGGAGAATGGGAAAAAACACATCGACCTTAACTGGTGCAGGATTTCGCAACCATCCGTGGACACATGTGGTGAGTCTCCGCTGCAGGCCCCACATGTTAAACATCCAGCAAAATCATAAATTTGGGACGTTGTTGAGGTTCCACATCAAAGATACATTTAGAGGATTTGGAGGTTCATCCATATAGATAGAATTACAAAGATGAAAGTCAATCTTTGGCCGGTGAGTTTAGTATATGGAGGCATGGAGGTGTCTTATTTCATGAGGCTACCCCCTAAATATCCCTAAATCATCTATATGTTTTTTGCAGACTTTCCATGAAACAAACCATCCAGCAATTGGGGATCCCCCATGACTATGGAAACTCCCATATTTTCTCGTGAACCCTGGGAGGTGCTGATCCCAACACCGCGGCAGACAGTGGCGCCTTCGGTGTGGGCTTCACGCAGGTGCCGTGGCGTGCCGTGGCGACGCCCCAAGGATTTCACCACGAGAAATTGGGTAAACTGATCATGGTAATGATTTTTCACCATGGTTAGTATGTTGGTTGTACACAATTTGAGGATTTGTTTCCACCAAACATGGTGGCGGCGCCTGTGGAGCGACCGCGCTCTTTCATGTTTTTCAGAGGTCGTTTTAGAGGTTCAAAGCACAATTCCCTGTAAAACGCAGGACTTTATTCATGAACCTTGCTCGATCGATGTTAAAAAATGGTTCAAAAACATTGGAGGCGCGCCTCAAAATTAACTTCGTGTCGTTTTTGCTGTAGCGAAAACGCGATTTTTGGAAAAAATGGATTTCGAAAACATATTCCCGAAACACATTCGAAGCTTTTTTACATCTGCGGTCTGCTCACTTCCAGTATCCGATCTTCTTGTCGATCGATTTCATGAGTTTTCCAAGTTCCTGCAGTAAATCCAAGCCAAGTCCAATTTTGTCCCTGAAGTTATTTCAACATCTTCACAACGTAGCATCCAGAGCGTCCCTGAAGTTACTTCAACATCTTCACAACGTAGCATCCAGAGCGTCCCTGAAGTTACTTCAACATCTTCACAACGTAGCATCCAGAGCGTCCCTGAAGTTACTTCAACATCTTCACAACGTAGCATCCAGAGCGTCCCTGAAGTTACTTCAACATCTTCACAACGTAGCATCCAGAGCGTCCCTGAAGTTACTTCAACATCTTCACAACGTAGCATCCAGAGCGTCCCTGAAGTTACTTCAACATCTTCACAACGTAGCATCCAGAGCGTCCCTGAAGTTACTTCAACATCTTCACACCGTAGCATGCCGTAGCATCACATCCTTCCGGCAGCCGCCATGAACGTTATAAGCCCACCCCATCCCACCCCATCCCATGCTCTGACGCAGCGGTTGAAACAGGACGAACATCCCCAAGAACCAGACATTCACGTCAAATCAACATGAAAACATTAAGACCAACTCAAGATCACATGGTAAAATTTACAACAGTGCGGTCGCCTGAGAGGCGCCGTCACCCCAAACATGGTGCTTTAAGCAACAAATATGGATGTGATGGGGATATCATTTGGCCCATGAATAGTATACTGCATACTGGGAAACCGACTTGGATAGGCAATGTGTTTTTTCTGTAGAGAGCGATCATCTAAAATTTAGATTCAACTAGAAAAGTACGTAAAATTGCAAGAACTAGATTAATACATGTAAAAAAATACTGAAAATCATTGGGACTTCGTGTGGTTTTAAATGGATGTATTACTTGTGAATATGAATGATCGGACAGATGGGTCTGCTGGGGTTTTAACGGAATTGGTGGGCCGTTCTGTAGAACTTTTCATGGCTGGCGAATTTGATAGGCTGTCTGCACTTACCCTCTGGTTATGTCAAAATAGCTATTGAAAATGGCCATTTATAGTGAGTTTTCCCATGAAAAATGGTGATTTTCCATAGCTATGTTAAATTACTAGAGGGTAAACAAAACAACATGGTATGTAAGATCGGCCATGACAGCAAGCCAGCAAGCCCCAAAAAGATGGCGAATGTGGGCTGAAGGTGCAAACTCATGGGTTGAAACTCGTATACAAACTGCAACTTGTGTCGTAGGTGTATTGGATATTATTGGATCATTTGTGGGGTCATGTTGTCAAAGGAGATTGGTCTACTAAATCATCATTTCAGAGTCATAATATGTTTCAAGCCGGATGTTTTTGGGGCTGGAGACGTGAGCCAAAGGCCTATTTTTTAGGGGACCCACCGTGTAGGGCTCACCGATGGCCGAAGTCGTGATCCATCCCTTCTCAAAGGGTCAAATCAGTTGGGCTTGAGAGATGAATCTTCACCATAAATCCAACAACTCAGCTTTGACCCGTTCAACTGGAGTACTGCATGTAGCCTGCAGATTAGAATTCAACAGTGATTGGACAGATTATTGTGGCTATTACTTTATAATACTTTGTACATATATATATATATATTATAATAACATATAATAACACACATATATATATATAACAACTCATCATTATAGAATTACCAATTCACCATATGTAATTATCTCATCAATTTCCAGCCAGTCAGCACCAGCACCAGCCAAAACATTCACCGATTTCTGCACCGGGTCGCCGTCAGGTGGGCGCCTATCCATTGCATTTGGCGGCCAAGCGGGGCCGACGTCGGGTCATGGAGGCCGCACCCGGAGTTCTCCGGCTGAGAAGCGGCAAGACAGTTTACCCTTTCGTTATTTCACCATTAAAGGGGGATTTAATAAGGATTTGATCGGCTTTTCTAGGATTTACTCTCTGGCTATTTAATAATAGCCATGGACATTTATTATGTTTAAGAGGCAAGTTATCTTTAAATAAACCATGTTCATCCATTTTCCATAGTTATGTTAGCTTACTGGAGGGTAACAATTTAATCAACACAAACTACGAAAATCCGTAGGGTTTCGCCGACAGCGATGGTGGATCCTATAACCAACAATAATGCGGGTTTCTCAGTTCTTTAGCCAGCAGAAATATCAATTCAATCAACGATGAATCACATGGAGAAAGGGGCATTGAAGCAGCATGATGTGATCATTCGACCAAAAATTGGGAGTCGCCGTGATTGATGTGATTTGACGATAACATGTGAATGCGAGCAGCAAACTGCTGGGTGTTTAGTGCACGCACAAACCATGGGAATTTCGCCAAGTCAAAGTGGTATTGAAGCACCCTCAAGTTGGAGATTCAAGCCGCACACATTTGGGGATTTAGGCGGTTCAATCCCCAAATATCGCACTGCAAATACTGGGAAGCCAGAATCAATAGATCCTCAAGGCGGATTGTTGGCATCCAAAGTGAGGTTGGCATCTGTCTGAGTAGCCCTTGGTGTTTCGTAGGTTCATAGGTCAATATGAATCATCCGCATGTTGCCACATATATACGTATATATATATATTATTATTATTATTATTATTATTATTATTATTATTATTATTATTAGTAGTAGTAGTAGTAGTATTAGTATTATTATTATTACTATTATTATTATTGTTATTGTTATTATTATTATTAATTATTATTGTTATTGTTATTATTATATCTATATATATATGCTACTATATTTATTTATATGTTCTATATACATCTATATACATTTTCTGCATTGAATGGATTCAATACGTTTTACCCAGCTTTAATAGATGCAGGGCATGAATCAGACACAGTCACTGACCAAATACTTCATCCCGGGACTTGCTGGAGTCAAACAACCGTCCTGCAGTAGGAGAATCTTAGTAAAACAGTGGGATCCCCCATCCTGAAAATTACCATTATTTTTGCGGCTATGAAGATGTATGAAGCATCAACATTACTGAGCGGTTTATTCTTGTATACTAGCATGGAATGAAACATTGATCATTCATGTGTGGTTGTCATCCTTGCTTTATTATGCTTTACTGGTTGGTGGTTTGGAACATTTGTTATTTTTCCTTATGTTGGGGATAATAATCCCAAATGACTTTCATATTTTTCAGAGGGGTAGGTCAACCACCAAGCAGTTCATGTGTAATTATCTTTGTTGACTGGATTAACATTGAATTTGAAGAACCTTAGGAGATACCCTCTGGTAATTTAACATAGCTACTGAAAATTACCATAGAAATAGTGAGCTTTCCCATTAAACATGGTGATTTTCCATAGTTATGTAAACGTTTACCAGAGGGTAATGTGGGGTTCACCCAACAATAAACCATCCCCAATGGTCAAAGTTGGTGAATTTCGTATGGTCTATGGCATTTTGATGAGTGGACCATCTCCTCAATTATGGGATTTTGAACATGATTTCACCATCAATTGACAAATTGACAATTTTACCATGTGGAACCATAGTGAAATTGAATCATAGTGAAATTGTGCAATGATTTGACCATAGTTGGGATTATGGATATGCTTAACCATAGGTGTTTTGTCCAATTGATGGTTAAGCATATCAGGTTACGGTCAGCCTGGTTAGGTCCGCCATCGAACTGTCAGGTCTTACTCCGAGCAGGTTCGGGACCTGGGGTGCCTCTGGGTCCGCAACTCATCATACAAAGAACATGTCTAGATTGAATGACCAGCTCTGTGTGTGTGTATTATGAGAATTTATACACCTGTGTGCTGGTTTGTGTGTGTGTGCACGTAGTCCAGTTTGTCTTACAGGTTCACATAATGGCAATAGACATGCATTCATTAATCGGTATCCATTAATCTGGGTAAATTATAACGACCTCACTGCGACCTCACTATAATCATAGTTAGTAAGGGGAATCATCCCCAAATGGCCTTAATTCAGGTTAGTGAAATATTATAATTTACCCAGATTAATGTAATAATGTGTTTGTACTTTCACAATATGATTAAACAAGTCAAGTGTGTATATGTAATACATCATCATGTATACATAATTACATGACATATCCGGATATATCTCGGATACTATACATGTACTTATGCCATCCCCCAACTAATATAACCCCGGCCCGTCAAGAAGCGGGTTGGAAGAGTACAGTACCTTTCGAAAAAAAAAAGAAACCGGGAAAAAAACTCTGGGTTTCTGTCAATTTGGGGAATGGTCTCTCCCATGTTGTTCTAATTAAATTATGATATTCACTGGTTCAAATCCAATTGTGGATCGTAAAACCACACTATTGTGAGTAGAGCAATAGTAAACCATCCCCAGTTTTACCATAAATGAATGGTTTTGATCGTTTAAACCATCAAAATATGGGTGGTTTATTGTTGCTATACCAACACTACAAACATTCATCAAAACAGTGCTTGGGACATTGTCTACAGACACTGCGCTGTGTGCAGGTGCTGCAGTGGATGCTGCAGACCAAAACGGTCGCACTGCGTTTCTTGGTGATGGCGTGTGGATCTGCATATATTCTCAATTGTGCCATGATCAAAACTTGGATAGCCTCAAGGCTCAAGCTGCCACGTAGCGAGGTAGGAGGGTGGTGCCTACCAATTGAGCCATGGAGTTCTCACATGGACCTTTGACCCAGGTCGTGAAGTACATTTGTCCATCTCCGACCGTTTGCCCTTGCCACGAACGGGTTTCGTGTATCTTGACGGATTTGACCGTGGTCTCGATGAGTGTCTTACTTGTTGTCTTGGCTTGCCGTGTTGACTCTTGCCATTCCCTGGTGAGAGATGGAGTTCTGTCGCTTAGCTTGACACATGGACGCTGCCCACTTGATATCGCCGATAGATACTTGTTGAAGATCTCCCTTGATCAGTGGACTAGTGCAGTTGATCTAACTGGCCTTCGGGTCGTTGCCTTGGGATCTTCAGAGGTTCTGTTGTCTGACACTGTGGATGCTTCTCATCTCTTGTTGAAATCTCAGTTCCGTAGTGACGGCAGGTCGCTGCCCACATGACATTGCATATAATTACCTCTTGAAGATGACACCTGAACTATGAAGTGGATTGACATCCGTTGTTTGCTTGCAGGCATTTGTCCTTGCCAAGTGTTTTTATGTTTTGACAGATGGTGGAGGTGTTTTTCCAACACCTGAATGCTGGAACCCAAACCCCTATATGGCATTATATTTGGCATGGTATGTGTCGTTGGACTGCTTTGCAGCGGATGCTCTGGATGGGCTCATGTCACTTGCTTTTCTGCAGTGCCCTGAGTTGCCAGTGACTTCAGATTTTGCCTCGGGCTTGAGTCATGAGTGTGTTCTTGCCTACCAGTGCACCTTCACACGAGCTTGTCACTGAGTCAGAAGTCGTGACCGCACTGCGCATAAGCTTGTTAGAGAAACGGGACGCCCTCAGTGGTACCAAGAGTTGGGTGCCTGCACGTTCTACTGGTTTTTCCTTGTCTTGATTTGCTTGCAGTTGTTGCTTGCTGGATATTAGTTATCCAAGTTATTCAGTTGACAATGGTGCTCGTTGTAGAGTCTTCCCAAGATATGAAATTTTCGAAGCAGCTCTGACGACATGGCTATTTCTGTATGCCTTTTTTTTTTACTTGGCAAGGAGCAACCGCGCGATGTTGTTTGTCAACTGCTGTCCTTAGTGTGACATTTCCTTGGCATACAGCCAGTACATTGTAGTTAGCTGAGTGCTTGCCATTTTCGGTTCACCCCCATCCTTACACCTCGCACCCCCCCTTAACCGGGAAGGGGCGTTGGTGCTGCGACTTCCCTCGCGCAGGACTCCGTCAAAACTTGAATTGTATAGCATTTTTGCGGAACGGCCATCAACCCATGAATAGGGATTTACATATCCATGGTAAGGATTCCCAATGTGTGATGGATGACAATATAGAAACCACGTACCATGTTTTGACCTTAGCAGCCCTAGCACATTTGGTTGTTGACACGCCTACCATGTTTCAATGACAGATGTGGCGCATGATGAAATCAGGCGTAAGGTCGAAATCCCTGCGTTTGTTGGCGACTTGTCCATTGGGCGCTGCTAGAAAGAGTGTGCATGTTGAATGTTATCAAATCAAAGCGAACATCACACACATGAATATATATATATATACATGTAACACTGGTCTAGAACGAACATGTCAATTCAGGGTTGATCCGTTTGACCAGTACTATTTTTTTACTCCTGTATGTACATAACCAAATGTGAGATGTTGAAAAAACAAAAATCTACATTTGTACAATTTAAAATATCATTGGGACATCAGAAGTCGCCACTTTAACTTCGCAAATAATCCACGTTTCAAGGATGATATTGTGGGCCAATTGCAACCCAGCGATCTTCGATCATCAGAAGGGAATCCCAAAAAGGTATAATGTCAAGCCAGGGTCAAGAGAGTTGCCCCCCCCAAAAAAAGGACACACCAGAAAGTGACACCCGTCCCTGTTGGAAATCGTGCCCATGGGCCAGCATCGCAGCAATTGTTGGCAAAATTAGTTTGTTCCGTCTGTGCGGTGCCGGTGCAAAACACATGCCTTGCCATCTGAAGGTGATCAGATTCTCAGGGGAAACGAGTTACCAAATCCAGATGGTTTGGAAATGTTTGGAACATGCTGGAAAAAAACAAAGGAATATATAGGTATGTAATGTTATGTAGTTATGTAGTTATGCGGCTGTTAAAATTCTATATGCATTTGCAATTTTAGGCGTTTTGAGATGTCTTATCCTACCGCTGATCTGCTGTAACCCATGCGCTCTCCCACTTCAGAGGTGCGAACTGCACAGGTACTCAATCGTTTCTCTCAGTTCAGGCAGGTATTCCATTAGTATGGCTAAAAAGGTCAAAGTAGGGCATCCCTAAACTGAATGATATCGTAGCAGATATCACCAAAGTCTCTGGTCCTCTATACCTTTGATTTTGGCAGTGCAATATCCATATATCATATCTTGGGTCAAAACATGCAATTGCTGCAATGCCCAGTTTTTGTTGTTCAAGACCCGCATGATTATTTCATGTAATTTCAATGTTTCAATGCATTTCAGTTCCTGGTGGTTTCAAATAGACATTTTGTGCAGGTATCATGTCCAAAGATCCAACCTCAGACGGCCTGGGATGATGATTCAGTGACTCAACCAGCCTAGGCTGATGGTTGCCGCAGCGAGCGGTCAGCCTGGAGACTCAGTGGGATGAGGATCACTCTGGGAGCTGGTTACTAAGTGGGGTTATAACCCAGCTATACATGGGAATAAACCCGATTATATATGAAAATATATGGAATAGCCCACTTAGGGGACCTACTAGCCAGCGAAACAAGGTGGCACCTGCGATTATGAATAGATATTTCATGATATTTCCATTGTGATTACTCACATGAGTTGGGATATCGGCCCCTAGAACTATGGTTGCATGAAAATACAACTGGAATTGCACCCGTAGAAAAGTTTGTGCATCAAGGGCCCTTGAATAAGACGGACATCCCTATGGCCCTTCTTTAAACCAAACTGTTGGGTTTTATGTGGAAGATCATGGGCAGTTCTCATTTGGAGAAACATGTATTTCATTGGACAGAATACATCAAATTCTGGTGTTTTGTTTTTTTAGTGTGTGTTGAATAGATATATACATGTATGTGTATAGTATATTTATGTATATATATATATTATTATACTATATTATTACATATCATTTCTTATTATCCTATATCATATCATATCATGTTTTATTATATTATTATTATATTAAATTATATTATACGATTAGATTCAATTGCCCCTTATCAGGGAAATGACATATGTAGTTGGTACGCGGGTCAAACGGTTTGACCTAACCAGGTGGATTTGTCGACACAAAGGCCACTGGTGAAGATACGAATGACAATGGCAACAACACCATAATAAGTTCACAAATCTGATTAATATTTTTCATGACTGTATTGACTGATTATATATGATTATATAATAATAACAGGAGACAGTTTGATAGTGCCGATAATCGTTAAACATAGTTATTCTGAATATTGAACAGGATAAATTTTGATATATACTAAGCTGGGTTTGGCAGCAATTTGACCGACAGACCCCATTTACTACGCAGAAAGGGGCCTCCAAAAGATATGTGGCAATTCAGCCACTTGCAAAGATCCTTCATTTTGGCAATACTCCATTTCAAAACCCAAGTGGGCTGTTAGCCTGAACCTTGTTTGTCTATCCTCTTGGTGGTCCAAGAAGCACAAGAAGATTGCTTGTCAGGAAGTTCAAGGATGTTCAAGGGGCGCCGGTTAAATTAGTTTTGGGTGGTTCCAAAAGATTAGAACGCGCAAATTTAGTTCCTTTTGTTCTGCTAAAATCAATGATGTTATACGTGTTGTTCTCGCGGACCAAAAATGTGCTCCGTTAGTCCGTTACCATTAGGTTCTGTGATATCCGCTTAACAAGTGCTTGATCTCGGCTGGCAAAGCCCGGTCTGGAAAAAAATGGGTATGTCCTATGTCCAGCAGTGCTGCAAGTGGCTATGGAGATGCAAAGGGCGCCTCTGACCTGATTAAACTATACGCATGATGCCTGAATGGTGAAGGATGCACGTTGAAACTTAGTCATTCCACTCTGGGGCGGGACGTGCTTCGGATGGTTTCCAGGCACCTCCCAGTCAAAGAAAGTGGAAAACTCGTTGTGAATCACAAAAATTCGCTTCCGATACTGCAAAAAGCGCTGCCGAATCAAAGTATTGTGGGGAAAGCTGCAACGCTGTCCTGCACGTATATTCCAACAAATGTATATGAAGCATGGTGCCCTGGAAGGAGTCACCAAGATAGAAGGCGTAACTTCAGCCTTGTTGCAAACACTGAACAGTCCTCCGCCAAGCCTTGAAAGCTTGACATTCGCCAACAATTTCAGCCAGAGCTTACAAGGAGTTACCCTGCCAAGCAGTCTTCAGAGTTTGACATTTGGCTATTGTTTCAATCAGTGCTTGGAAGGAGTGAAGCTTCCAAGCAGTCTGCAAAACTTGACATTGGGAAGCTGTTTCGGCCAGAGCTTGGAAGGAGTGAAGCTTCCACGCAGTCTTGAGATCGTGTCATCGAGTAGCCGTTTAAAAGAGTGACCCTGCCAAGCAGTCTGCAGAGCCTGACATTCGCCAATGGTTTCAATCAGAGCTTGCAAGGAGTCACCCTGCCACGCAGTCTTCAGAGCTTGACATTTGGAGACAAGTTCAACCAGAGCTTGCAAGGAGTTAACCCTGCTAAGCAGTCTTCAGAGCTTGACATTTGGACCTAGTTTCAACCAGAGCTTGGACGGAGTGAAGCTTCCAAGCAGTCTTGAGATCTTGTCATAGGTAGCCATTTCTACCAGAGCTTGGAAGGAGTGACCCTACCAAGCAGCCTTAGGAGCTTGACATTGGGATGCTATTGTAACCAGAGCTTGGAAGGAGTGAAGCTTCCAAGCAGCCTTGAGATCTTGTCATTTGGTGGTCGTTTTAACCAGAGCTTGCAAGGAGTTGACCCGTCACGCAGTCTTTAGAGCTTTGCATGTTGCAGCTGCAAAGTGTCCATCAAGAGTTCTGGCGAGTGATGCTGCCAATCACTGTTGACAAATAAATGTATGACTTTAGTTTCATGAGCAGGTTGGTCGGCGTGGGTGGTGAAAAGTGACACGAAACAGACAACGCCGATTCTTGTTCTTTCTAACCCCATTATTGGTAGAACGCCTAAGATGTCATAGAAAAATATAGAAAAATGATTGTTCAAAAGTGTTCAAGACCTCGTCTCTTCCTGTTGAATGGACCATTCATGTCACCAAACCAAAGGCAGGACTTCTTGCGCCTACCTAGCTTAGACAGGGGAGAAACACTTCATGGTTTCGAAACACCTGCCACCATGCATTTCTTCGGGACGTTTTCGGCCGAGCAAAGCATGGAGTCTGCACATCAGACCCAAGTGATCCAAGCGACCTCGAGTGAAAGATGGACGAGCTGCTCACGGGAGGACCAAGACTTGAACTTGTTCATTTGGGACATCTGCTGCATAATTACGGCTGCCTTTTCCAAGTTGCAGATTGATGATCCAATTTTATTGCTCACATAACAAAGCCCGCTTCATTGGCTATCCCCTTCTGGGGGAAATTAGCACCAAGCAACCAAACCAACCTTATATCTTGACAAATGTTGGCTGATGGCTGGTGGTTTCACAATTGTATCAGTTCCCATCTTGTCACCTTACAAAAAGTCCGAATATATAAATTGATTTTAGACTGTAGTTCTGCTTCAGGATTTACTTGTGTTTGTACTACAGCGTCTATGCTTGAATCCAGCAAGACAGACACAGACACACACTAGACAAGAACTGGATCATTGTAGTGATCCGGCAGGAACTGAGTCCTGTAACGTGCAAACCAGCCTAGACCATTAGACTTACAGGAGATCCCCTTGTAGTACTTCACGAAAACGATGTAAAACATCCAATGTTGTCCAACTATGTCGGAAAAAGGCAGGTACGTGACAAAGGCGTCCCTTCGTCATATCACAGCAAATGATGAAGCGTCTTCGTCGAGTGGTGACTTCATCATTGCTCACCACTCCCCTGCATTGTTATTATTATTAGAAAGGGAGAGGACAGAAGGAAGAAAAAGAGAGAAGTTTTACATCTATTCAGATGTTACACACACACACACCCGGCCGGAGCCGGGTCAACCCTGAAAGGCAAGAGGAAGAAAAAAGCGAACACAGACGACGGGCAAAAGGCCGAAACAGCGCAGGGGGCGGAAGGGGAACAGACGGACCTCCAAAACCAACCTACACGGCGAAACGGACCTGACCAAAACATTGCACACACCCCACCATGGAAATCACACTAGACAAGAACTGGATCATTGTAGTGATCTGGCAGGAACTGAGTCCTGTAACGTGCAAACCAGCCTAGACCATTAGACTTACAGGAGATCCCCTTGTAGTACTTCACGAAAACGATGTAAAACATCCAATGTTGTCCAACTATGTCGGAAAAAGGCAGGTACGTGACAAAGGCGTCCCTTCGTCATATCACAGCAAATGATGAAGCGTCTTCGTCGAGTGGTGACTTCATCATTGCTCACCACTCCCCTGCATTGTTATTATTATTAGAAAGGGAGAGGACAGAAGGAAGAAAAAGAGAGAAGTTTTACATCTATTCAGATGTTACACACACACACATGGCAATGGGGAATTGCAACCCTAAAAGGAACATAATCTACGCATTTTGTTTTTTACATATTAATTCCCTTGCGGTGGCAATACCAACCACTATTGTCGACATGTCCAGCACTTGCAATTTGTTTCTGCAACACATGAATCCGACAAAACCAACCCAGTAGATTCATGTAGTAAAATGTAGTAATTACAGTATATAAATGTATATAACATGTATATATTTATTTACAGTACTGCTTCTGAATACTTCAGTTTTCTGGATAACACGTGGCATTTACCATTGCATTTAAAGGTGAACTCCCAGCTGGATTTCGCTGCATGATGACTGCTGCAATAACCCAAGCTGTCCCTCAGATTACATGAAATGATAACATTAGAAAACACATATCTCACATTATAGAACTGAGATATATGTTTACTGTGTATGTATATATAAATATATATAATCAATGATTTATAGTAATATACTCCAATAAATGTCAAAACTTTTAGGTACGCGGTATGCTGTCCAACTGTCCACCGGGTGGCATTTTCCCTTGTCTCAGGTGTGGTGCTTCTGCATGGCTGCTTGAACATCGAGCAGTTGGGGCACTGAGATATATGGTGGGTAAAATAGCTGGTTGGTGGTTTGGAACATGTTTTATTTTTCCATATATTGGGAATAATAATCCCAACTGACTAACATTTTTCAGAGGGTTGAAACCACGAACCAGAGGGTTGGCTGCTTGATGCATTTTGGATCCACACAAAGGAACATGTAGCATTCTACGGATTATCTGTGTGGATCCATGTATTCAGACAGCAAGGTCGGGGGCTAGCACTCTTAGACCATTGAAAATTGACGTGGATTTCATTCCCCAAATGTTTGTTCTACTCATCCAAGGTTTCAATTTCAGGCTGTTCAGCGGGTTTGTTTCTTCCTGGGACCTAACAGCTATGTTGTTCACAGTGAGTGTGTCGTGCTCAAAATTGAGAAATGTTGATACACCAAATACCTATGATGACCCCAAAAATGTGTTATTTTGAAGATATATGTGATTGATTTGTTGGATATTATTTCTACAGTTGGAACCGGATCGTTCCCATCAACATCGCCCTACTGATATTGGAGTAAATCCTTTATTTTTAGTTACGCAAACTGATTTTCCATGTTGTTGCATATATTTATATATAATGCATATCCAATCATATATATATATATTATATACACATATCCAATCATATGTATATATATATATACATATTATATACATAGATACCATTCTAAGACCCCCAAAAAATGGTTGGTTCTATGCCACTTCACTTTTCTGGCTGCTCCGACGTTGCGATGGCCAGCATGGAGGATGTGGATTGGAGGACGCACTATGGATACACAGCGGGGACGCCTTCAGATAGGGATAAATCTTCGGGAACTCGATCGAAATGGCAATTTTTCAAATGTGAAATTACCAGAGGCTACAACTATCAAACATGCCAATTTAATCCCATTTGTTCATGGGGATATAGTGGGGATATAGCGGGGGGATAATGGAAGTATCACCTGGGACAGAATGGATTTGAGTTAAGATGGAGATTAAGGGGGAGATTAATGGAACACCCAATAATGGTCCGAAATAAGTGTAAATCCCGACTAGATGACCATGAGGGTGATTATAATAGTATGAAAGGGACGGATTGTTTTTTGTTATTGTTATTATTATTTCATTATTACTATTACTATTGTTACTAGTTATAGTAGGGAAGTTTTTTGAGCTATACATAATACATAGAATTGTCATACCTGTTCTTACTATGTTAGATGTTTGTCATTCCGTTTCCAGACTCAATGAGAAGTGACCATAGAGTTTTGGGTAGTTTTTAGTGATTTTGCAGACAAATGTTTGCTTTAAAAGGTAGTGTGCCAATGAGAGGTCAACATTAGAGAAATCAAAATCGCAGGCTGGGAGAGACAGCTTACCCCCAGATGTTTCAGGACCCCCGAGGACCTTGGTGGAATGCTTTGAATATCGTTTTATGTTCCCTTAGATAATGGGGTTGGGCTCATGATTGGCGGACGGGATTAGGCAAAAAGACAGGTCCTGCTTAGTGACACTGGGCCCTTTGATACGGGTATGAATGTGATCCCGGTAGACCCATGGGACAGGTCAAGAGTTGGTGGCCCATCCCAAGTAGTGGGTTATGACCCCGGGGAAAGTAGTTGGAAGTGGGGTTCTGATCCACTTACCAGCTGGGATGAGCCACCCTATGTACCAAAAACGACCAATTTTGATAAAGAATGGTGCGGGTCCATTTGTCACAGAGTCACCCAGTATTGAGCCATAGCCACTTGAGTATTTTGCCATGGGCTACAACGGCTACAAGCCACATTTTAGCTGGTTATCCCCATGCATCGATGGGCAACCCGAAACGACCCTTTCCGGCTAAGGCTCTCCACCATGCCGCCCTTGTGCCGCGGCCTGAGGCTGGAAGACAACTCTGTGACAGGACACCCCTGCAGACTGAGATATCTGACACTCGGACCCACAAGACTTCTGGTGGATAAGATATACTTGTTACATCATGTTACATTTGTTTTACCATTTTTTCCACAGGGGTTAAGAGCACCAGCCAGAATGGGTTTGGAAGATTACAGGAGTGTTTTTATGTTTTTGCTGACTAACCTTTGAGCCTAGCTGTGTGTTCAATGTCCTCTTTTTGTGGGTAGGAACGAACATGTTCAAGAGGGGTGTTTCCATTTGTGATTGGTGATACATCATGTATATACTAATTATAACATAGTATATATAGTAACTATGACATACTATATCATACTATATCCCATTGACCTTAGTTGATGTAATGCCCTTCCCATCTATGGTTGGTTTCAATTCCTGATCTTGGGACTGTTGAAGTTGTAGCTATCATTCTCATAGCAGTTGTATATCTATGGGGGTTGAAACAGTTTCCGATCAGTTTCTGATCATTGAGATTTATTGGAGTTGTATTGATCATTGGTTGTGTTGGTTTCAATGATGTGTAGTGTCCCCCATCCAAAAATAATCTCGTAGCTGTCGTAGCTTGCCCCTTTCCGAACGGAGCACCGCGGATCAGGTTGTGGAGATTCTGTTGGAAGGAAGAGCAGCGGGCCCCGGTGATATGCCCGGGGAGAATCTACGGGATGAATTGACAGTAGCCTCCGACGAAATTATGAAAACACAATGGAAAACTAATGAAAACCCGGAAAGCTGGTTGGAAAATGATCTAGAAGTAGTGAACTGCATACTGTATCTATGCTCATTTTCTGGCAATCCTTGCGTGAATTCAGCATCAGCATGCTGAGTTTCAGATGATTTCACCACATTTTACCATGGGTAACCATTGCGGGACGAAGCAATGTTGCGCAATGAAACAAAGAGATGGACAAAAATGGTGACGCGACTGATGATTTTAGCCATGGGGCCGGTGGCTCAGCCATCAAGATATTTTTGTGAAGCGAATGGTGGGTAGTTGATGGCAGACTATTTAATGTTCCCTATTTGATGCGCAGGCTGTACTTTCCCGTTTACATTTAATGTTTTTTTTGTTGCTAGGCACCAAGAATGCCAGCTTGTTGGATCTATGATAAGTACATATAAGTACTATGATGTCCCTTGCCTGAAGTGCTGCTATCATGCTTAGAAAGTGTGGGGTTCCCTGCCACATTTGATCATCCCATCACAGATATTGGATCGCTACTCCTGGATGGACAAGCCATTCCCGACTGTGCGATAAGCTGGGGAACAACATGGAATTTGGAGAAGTGCTGAACATCAAATGAGATTGAATGGTTTGCATCGTGATTTTGTATACTGGTGTACTATATCTATCTATCTATTTATATATATACATAATAAATATAATTATATACTATATATATATATACTGTATATCATACAGAAGGGAAAGAACATCAATCTGTGGGTTCCAGGGTCTTACATGTTTAGCCCTCACTGCCCATTAACTGGTCAGTTCACCCAACCTAGAAGGTTGAACATCCTGAAAGGTGGTATAACCCCGCTATTTTCATCAACCATCTTTTTTCTGTGTAAACTGCCCCTTTTTCCCCAACGCAAGTTTGCAAGTGCTAGATGTGCTCAACATAGTTCAACAACCAATGATTTTGCAACTGGTGGTGTGGTGCCTGTGCTCTGAAGCCTCGCTTTACCCGTCATTGAACTGTCTTTTGCTGGTCATGGGGATTGTCCAAGAATTATTCCCGCAATATGTCAATATGTTTTTTGCAATAATACTTTCCAGATTGTTCTGGCTTAGATGAGTCAATAATTCTACTGATGTTCTAAATACTGTAATTCAGTAGTCTACTATTATTCTACTGATGTTCTCAAATTATTCTACTGATGTTCCCAGAGTTCATTTGTTTTGTTTGGGTTGACGTTGCTCCACGGCGTTTCACCGTCGAGGCTAGCACTGAAGTGATGGATCGAGAGGGGCGAACGGCATCCTGGCGATATGGCTATGGATCAATACCTATTAATACCATTACTATAGTGGGATGAACATCTATTTTAACCCAGCTATTTTGATGTGAACTACAGGGGTACAAGGTTTTGACACACTGCCATATATGATCATATACATATATATATATACACATGATTGTACATGCATATATTACATATATACACATGCATGTACCTTTTGATGAGTTGCATTTGTGTACGTGCATGTTGCTAGAACTGATAGTAGTTTGGCTAGATGAATATGCGATGAACGATTCATATATCACTGTGATATTTCATGTGATGGCCTACATGGCCTACATCTTCCACATGGCATGGCCCAGATCTCCCAGGCCTTGCATGCCACGTTGTCCACGTTACCGTCAGGGCCAAGCAGTTGGGTCTCACAGTCGGGCAGCGATGGCCGCTGGGGGCTCAAACAACACACACATTCGGGGATTCTTGTTCTCAAATCATTCATTGTGGGCGGTTTATATTTTTCACCTGTACCATCCTGTACCAATTATATATATATATAGATATAGATATTGATAATATTGTATGTAGTGACGTATGTATATATAATTATACATGCCTTTGTACAGATTCGTATCTTATGTTGTTGACATGTCCTTGCAACTATGAGTTTGGCAACAAAATACAACAAACTGTGATTTGCCATTTGCTGTCGGATAACGTGAAACTGCGCTTCTTCGAGCAGGTTGCGCCGGCTCATGAAGATGAGACAGAACGTTCGAGTTCTTTAGGTGCATTGAGTGTGTAAAGTATATTAAAATATGACATGTTCTGATTAGCAGGTCTGCTTGCAATCAAATGCCAGTCATTGATACTGTATGCACGTCCATCATGATGTATCTATGTAATCCCTTCCCTCTATTCCAATATGAACTAGCCCCCATGACTAGGACCCCCATGACTAGGACCCCCAAGATGAATAGCTGTAGTACTAAACATACTAAAACCATGTAAAACCAAGAAAAAGGTATTCAATCAATATGAATTGGCTATATCGGCTATAGTAAACATTAAACACATGTTTTAAGATGTCTAAAGCCAAGTATAAAACCAATGTGAAATCACCAGACCAGGCAGCCGCCGCGACAAAACAGCCTCCACCAGCTGCGATCCAGCAGGTGTGGTCCATTGGAAAATTCATCGATTAGAGCTTTAGTTATATATGATTCATGATGATTCATGATGATTTATGATAGTACATGATGATTCATGATGATTCATGATGTTTTATGATACTACATGATGGTTCATGATGATTCATGATGATTCATGATGATTTCTGTTGATTGCTGATGATTTATGATAATACATGATGAATCATGATGATTCATGATGATTTTTGATAATACATGATGAATCATGATGATTTATGATAATACATGATGAATCATGATGAATCATGATGATCTATGATAATACATGATGGTTCATGATGATTCATGATGATTCATGATGATTTCTGTTGATTCCTGATGATTTATGATAATACATGATGAATCATGATGATTCATGATGATACATGATGAATCATGATGATTATGATGATCATGATGAATCATGATGATTCATGATGATTCATGATGATTCATGATGATTTCTGTTGATTCCTGATGATTTATGATAATACATGATGATTCATGATGATTTATGATAATACATGATGAATCATGATGATCTATGATAATACATGATGGTTCATGATGATTTCTGTTGATTCCTGATGATTTATGATAATACATGATGAATCATGATGGTTCATGATGATTCATGATTTCTGTTGATTCATGATAATACATGATGAATCATGATGATTTATCATAATACATGATGATTCATGATGATTCATGATGGTTGATCTTGATGATATATACATGATGAATCATGATGATTCATATCTATGATAATACATACATGATGATTCATGATGATTCATGATGATTTCTGTTGATTCCTGATGATTTGATGATAATCCATGATGAATCATGAGGATTCATGATGATTCATGAGGATTCATGATGATTTATGATAATACATGATGAATCATGATGATTTATGATAATACATGATGATTCATGATGATTCATGATGATCTATGATAATACATGATGGTTCATGATGATTCATGATGATTCCTGATGATTTATGATGGTTCATGATGATTCATGATGATTCATGATGATTTCTGTTGATTCCTGATGATTTATGATAATACATGATGAATCATGATGATTTATCATAATACATGATGATTCATGATGATTCATGATGATTTCTGTTGATTCCTGATGATTTATGATAATTCATGATGTTTTATCATAGTTCATGCTGAATCATGATAATTCATGATGATGATTCATGATGATTTCTGTTGATTCCTGATGATTTATGATAATTCATGATTTAATTATTGTGTTCAGGGTTATGTTTTCACTGTTTTTGTTCAGTGGATGCGGGTCAATGTACATCATGGTACATCCAAATTCGCCACGGAAAGTTCTTTGGATGATTGCAACTGACTAATTTACGGTAAAACCAATAATGAACCATCCCCAAAATTACCATCAATGGGCATAATGGGCTGTATAAACCATTCCCGAAATGGTGGCCTTGTTGATCCGAATCATGGCATCATGGCGTTTTCGAGGCATTGGCGACGAATATTGCTATGATCATGACATTTCCCACGGCTACCGGCGCATGGAGCAGGAGGACAGCGGAGAGCAGCTAAGGTGCTGCAAACAACTTCAATTTCACTAGAGTTATGACGCAAAATGTTTCATTTTATTGGAAACCAGCAAATAAAAAAAAACAATAACAATAAACAACAATACACAAAACAAAAAACAGCGCACGGTTTGAAACTCAGAGAGACTTTGTGCTTCTCCCTAACCGCCGCAGCTTGTTGATACCATTTGCTCTCAAAGTCCACAGTCTGCTGCGTTGCCTGCTGCCAAGCTGCGACCCAAACTCCCAAAATCCAACAACAGCTGCCTAGTCAAAGCTTCAATCAGCGCGCCTATTGCTCTAGGGGGTGCTCTGGCGGCTCGTGGTCCCCCCTTTTTTTGTGGTACCTTTTTTTTTTTTGGATTGTTTTTTTGTTTTTTTTGTTTTTTCCCTAGGAAAAAAAAACAAACAAAAAAAGGGGGGACCACGAGCCGCCGGGGCACCCCCTGGACTGATTGATTGCCCCCATCAAGGGTAGTGGGCGCACTGTTTGAAGCTTTGACTAGGCAGCCCTTGTTGGATTTTGGGAGTTTGTGTCGCAGCTTGGTAGCAGGCAACGCAGCAGACTGTGGACTTTGAGAGCAAGTGGTATCAACAAGCTGCGGCGATTAGGGAGAAGCACAAAGTCTCTCTGAGTTTCAAACCGCGCGCTGTTTATTGTCTTGTGTTTGTTTTTTTGGTGTGTTTTTTGTTTGTTTGTTTTTTTGTTTTTTGTTTGTTTTTTCATAATTTTATTTATTTTCCATTTTCCAATGAATGAAGGTCTCTCGAAGTCAAAACACTAGAGTTGGGGGTTTACGATATAGATATATCGAACTAGTCAGTGCGGTTTGCAAACGAAGCAACATTACTAGGGGGGCATTCCATTAATTTCCATTCCAAATCATTCCAATGATCACACGACTCATATTCCCAATTAATACCCATATGCTCCATGTATGGAATATTTACATATATTTACCACCCTTTACCCCATTTTTATGGCCCAGTTTTGTTTGGTTAAATATACCAGCACCCTGGTTCGCATATGGGATATATTTTCATATGGGTATGGATCAATACCTATTAATACCATTTTTAGGGGGTTATTCACATCCATTTTATCCCAGCTATGACTTGATGTGAACATCTTAGGGGTACAAAAATGGTTTTGACACACTGCCATATTACAGTTGTGGTTACCCTCTGGTAAACTGTCCCATAGCTATGGAAAGATCCACCATTTTTCATGGGAAAATCCACTATTTCTATGGCCATATCCCCATGAAAAATCGCCATTCTCCAGCCATGGTGCTGGGTCCCCAGGAGTTTCAACTCCGAGCCGTAAAGATGGCGGTCATGGCATTGCTTCGCCGCTTCGCCGAAGAGGGGATTTTCCACGTGGGAAAACGACAACGGAGCCCGTTTTGGGTGAAGTGATGTGCCCAACTGTTTGGGGATCTAACCAACAAAAAAGGTGATGTACTGATATACTATATGTATATATATATATATTATTCATATATATATATACATATATATACATTGATTTATATGTGAACCCTGTATCACCATCTGTTATATGTGGGTGTCTCATGTTTTGACGAAAGGTGTGGTATTACTATGGCCATTACCCTAATATTTCCTCTATGAACAAGGAACATGTTAATATAGGCCACTGGATTTTAATGGATTTTAGAGATACACTATTTTCCGACAAACGGCAAACCCGTGCGGAACTGGTTGCAAGTCCAAACAAAGGGGCTTGGAAATTCTGAGAACATGTTGTTGTTCTTTCTGCTGAATTCAGTTATTGAAACAGTTATTGATGAGTTCATTGCTGTTTTGGTTTTATGTTCTCATCCCATTAACTCTCAATCCCATATCGTCGTTAATGATATGGGATTAATCCAAAAAAACATCCCTTTCTGGCCCATTAAATCCCAGTAAATCCCATAATCATACCATTAATCCCTTGTTGAATGATACATTGCTATCCTCCAGATGTTCCCAGAAAAATTCCTCCTCCAGCCTCCGACCGGGAAGACCGGGGATGACCGGGATGACCTTGGGAGGCTCCAGGGCCGATGTTCACGTCCACGACGGCGGACCGGAGACGGGAGATGGAAACGGAGGGCCGATCCCTTTGGGCTACCCCCTGGTAATTTAACATAGCTATTGAAAATGGCCATTTATAGTGGATTTTCCCATTAAAAATGGTGATTTTCCATTGCTATGTTAGTTTACCAGAGGGTACCCCTTTATCGCGAGCTTTGCGAGCTCGCTGGATGGTTGATTTCATGGAACATCCCAATGAAAAATGGATGAGAACTTTTGGTGGTACCCCTATGACAAAACGGAAACCTCCATGTCACCAGCCAAAAAGTGGACTTGAGGTGAAAACCAACAGACATGGCAATGTTACACACCAAAATGGTTGTTCTACCAAGAAGTTTGGGCATTTAACTGCAAACAAATGAGATTTGGACGGGGATACATGAGATTACCAAACGGAGATGAATTTCAACAAAGCAACATTGAAATTTCTGCAATCAGGAGACAGGATTTGACCAACAAAATGATATATAGTTGTGCCAACAGCTACCCTCTGGTAATTTAACATAGCTATTGAAAATGGCCATTTATAGTGGATTTTCCCATTGAAAATGGTGATTTTCCATAGTTATGTTAGTTTACCAGAGGGTATATGAAATCAAACAAACAAGGTCGGCTGGTAAAAGCGTTGAAGTCATTGAGACCAAGATTGGGTAGGCTGACACTCAATGTTGCCCGTCTTGTTTTGTTGTCTTTTTAGAAATCTTTTCAGGTTCCCCTTGTCTGACATCATCAAAACAAGTGTGTCAATAGTGTATCCCGAAATTCCACGATTTTTGGTCGTGTTTGGAACCTTTTTTTTCCTGGAAAATTGCCGTGACTTGGAGGTAGACAACCCTTTTTTTAAGACAAAGCCACGGCCTGGCAGACTCCAACCCTACAGGCTTTGGTCGGAGTGCCCTGGACATCATGAAGGACACAACCAGTGGGGATTGGCTTTTCATGAAATAGAGAAGGGCTCCATTTGATCAGGGCCTTCAAAATGACAAACAACGTTGTGGTTCTTCAAATTTGGTTCAAATCAGTTTATTTTATGTTTGATTTGTGTGATTTTTGTTGATTTAATTAAGAGTTGAACACAAAGCATGGATACTTTATATATATATTACAGTAATATACACATATATATATATACATGAACTGTATATACATATACATATGCAGATGCATATATGTGAGTGTCTGCAAATGGGGGATGCCCCAATTTATTGTCACTTTACATGGGAATAAGATGATAATAATCCATGGGATTTCAGGGGGGTTCCCATAATGTTCATTCAAACCCATGTCCTGGATTTCCAGTTTATGGTCCATCAATCATCGCAACCACTCCGACACCACCGGAAATGGGTGGTCTAAGCCATCCCTATAAATGGATAATGGCAGGTTTATGGCATTGGGTTGCCCACTTTATCATCACTACACCTGTTTTATCCTCATTACATCCCTATGTTTGTTGGTTATATCATGTTATATCATCATGTATATTTATATATATATATATATATTTATATATATATACTGTATATCAATATCATTATATATCCCCATGCTATCCCTATCCCCATAGCCCCAATTGATTGACGGGCGCCCTAAAAAAGTCGGAGAAGGACAAGCGCCGTGGCGACCTGGCCAGCTGGCTCCAAAGCTTGGGCGAAGGCGCGGGACCTAGATGAGGTATTAGATATGTGCACATAAGATATACATGTAACATATTAAATATATATATATATAATAATATAGATATATATATATATACACGTAGTTATATTATATATATATAGTTATAATATGTATATATATAATATATATGTAGTTATATATATTATACATATTTGGGATATGGATCCAGCCGTACCTTCTCAGAAAGTATTTGGATCCAGACAGATGGGATATAAGTTCTAGATACACATAGATGTTTGGATGTATCATCGACTATGCGCAATGATGACTTAACATGTCTTATCTTCGTGTGATTGTGATCCTTCTTTCAGGTTTGATTATCATCGTTGGTGGTTTGAAAAAATGTGTTAGATGAGTTGATAAATCCCAAATCTGCTTCATTGTAATATACAATTTCCAGGCTCCCAACTTGTATCCATTACTGTATGGGGGTTCTGTTTCTACGAGGCATTCTAGGTTAATCCGCCAGCCACTCACAATGCAAACATTGTTGATTGACGCATTGACCCTTCCATCACAGACCATCGACACGGAAAATGGACTTTCCATGCGCGGTAGGACGACCCACGAAGATGGGAACGCGGGTTGTGATGTTTGTTCAACCGATAATCATAGGTGTATTTGAACGCTCCAAACATGAGTACCATTCAAAAATTCAATGCCCTACTGGTACCCAGAAACAAGATTCAGAGCTTCGTCATCTTGAAGGCAATTGAAAGTGACCTGGCCGGATCCCCTGTGTCTGAAAATGGGTGAAACTGATGAGCAATCAGGGAAAACAGTGGTTGCAACCTGAATTCCCAAGAACTCGCAACAAACCACACCATGCGTATGTTTGTTTGTTGGACTGATTTTAGATGTGAGCAATGAACAAGTCATAGAATCTTAGAGATGCGTTGATGAATGCCAGATATAATCTAATGACAGAATATAGAGCAGATAGATGTCAGAAGACAGATACTTTCTTTCATCGTTTGGCAAAAAAATGCCTTGCAGATGCTGTTACGCACTCATGCTCAGAAGATAGATTCTGTAGCAGCAATGGTAGGCTACAGTAGTCAGACGCATTGCAACTGCTTTCTTTTTGTGTTACATTAAACATCATTAAACCCTTGAGACTTGCAAGGAAGTGTAAGAAAGACCTGGCTGCTGTCACTGCTGAGACAGTCCATATGTGGTTGACCTCTTGGAAACCGCGGTGCGTCCAGAAGGGTCGGTGTGCCACGTCCTGAAGGACGCTCTCTTGATGGCCACACAGTTGTGCCGAGGCTTAGCCTTTCTTCACGGCATTGACTGTTTGCAGACTGCTTATGGTTCGAGGATGACAAGGTTTGCAAGTTTGGATAAGTTTGGATTGCAGACTGAATGTACAAGTACCATCACGTACCCTTTTCGACCAGTTATCAAGAGAGTCAACCATCCAAAAAACATTGGTATATATATCTGAGTCTTATCCCAACGTCTCACTCATGTCAGACTAGATTAGATGGTCTGAAACACACGTCTTTGAAATTTAAGATCTACCAACCCTTCAACAAACATAGACCCTGCCAAATGAGAGGTTGGAGCACCACTTTCCTACAGATGGAGGTGATTCTCATGGTCCACCTGCTAGTTAGGGGATAGGAGATCCCATTTATATATATATAATTACATTATATATATTATGTATTTTTTCCCATTATACCCGATAAAACCAGCATGAAATCTTGACATCTCCCCACTCAACCAGCCAGGGAAGCGCGGTGCCTTGAAGCACTGGACCTGGGCCGCGCAGATGTCTTGGGCCGGGAGCCTTTGAGCTGGAGCCGGGGATGAAGGGGAACAGAAGCTTAAAGGTGGTAAACCCAATGGTAATTTAACATAGCTATTGAAAATGGCCATTTATAGTGGAATTACCCATTAAAAATGGTGATTTTCCATAGTTATGTTAGTTTACCAGAGGGTAAACCCAATGGAATATCATGGGAATATCGGAAGATCATCGAATTTCATGGTAAATATTGGTGGGAATATCATGAGAGTATTGGTGGGAATATCATCAAAAAACATCCAGAGTAATCGTGGAATATCATGAGAATATCGTGCACTCCTGGACTGGGATTTTTTTCATGGGAATATCATGATCATATAGGATCATATTAACGGGAATTTTTGAAATTCCCTCAGAGTCGTGGCCTCTGAGGAGGTCTCGAATATAGTTTAAAGCTCGGAAACCATCCCCTATGGAGCTTTGTTAAATTGAGATACCCGGCCTGGTAAACGAACTAACAGTTTGCAAACCGGAAAGAAAATCACCTTATTTTTCATGGGAAAACTCACGAAAATTCGACTGGGCCAGAGGGTTTTTCCCTGGAAATGGGATGATGTATAATGACCCTCAGACCCCAGTCACGGTTGATGGGTCCATGGGTCTACCACTAAATAGTAGCCCAAATATGGCTGGTAGTCAAACATGGCTGGCAAACGGAAATCCCAGAACTCAATAAAGGTTGTGAATTTTGGGTGCAAATGGGGAATTATCCATAGCCATGTTTGATTACCGGAGTGTAAATGAGGAAGTGAGGAGCCTCAGAATTGGTTGAAACCAGAGGTTAGTTTCGGCTATATGTTTATTTTCTGGTAATACTGTAGTAAGTGCATTTGATTTCTGATTTTCTTGTGACATAAGACATATCAACATTTCAACCCATACCCAGGTTTTATTTCCAGAGCCCTTGTTTGCATCGGGCTATTGCTGTTGCTACTGCTGGTGGTGGTGGTGGTGGTGGTGGTGGTGGTGGTGGTGGTGTTTCTTATATATAGTGGACACTAGCTGCAAAGGTTGTTTGTGGTCCAGAGTTAATAAATTGGATCTGGGAGACCAGGGATGGTGGTTGGTTTTGTGACTTCCAGGTGTTTAAAGTCTGGTTTCGGTACCCATTTTGGTAGGTTATATGGTTTATTATGGTTTCAACTTTCAACTTTGGTCATTGGAAAAAAAACTCGATCATCAAACATTGTCGCATTTTGCCCTGTCAATTGGACCCTTGATCCCAGGGTTGCCACGTCCATACGAGATCCTCGAAGTGGCAGCATCAGAATCCCATGAATTGATCATAGTTGAGGTACGGAGACGTACAAACTTTACTCATTCGATATACCCTCTTGTTATGTCAAAATAGCTATTGAAAATGGTGATTTATAGTGGATTTTCCCATTAAAAATGGTGGATCTTTCCATAGTGTAGTTTAACGTGATCATGGCGAACCTTTTTTGAGCAATATCTTACAGTATATATAAGCAATGTATTCGCAAACAATGTCGTATCCGTCTTCCTTGGTTGTTGATCTTAATTGCCGTGTCTATGTTTCGTAACTTACCTTGGGTCTATTCCATGCGCAAAATCAAACAACAAATGCCTATGATAGGGCTAGTTCATTTTGATCCTCACAAAGAATCCTGCATTATTTGATTCGACAAACCATTTGTAGTACCCGATGTGGACAACATGTTCATGATTGTTGAATCGCCCTGATTGTTGGGCGATATCATCATTCAGTAATATTCAGTACGTATTTGGCTGCAAACCCAGTTGCCATTGTACGATTCTCATGTTATATCATGTTATATCATGTTTTTAACGAATCTATAATTGTATACCAGTGCTTGCATTGCCGTCATTGCGTCTTGTTGCCCAACCCAAACTGAGACCATTTGTGGTTGGAATGCCAGGCGTGCTGCTGCTGCTCTTCAGTGCCATCAGCACCTGGAAAACGGAGCTGAGCTTTCCTCGGGGAGCCATAGCCATAGTACAATATGAAGAGTTATAACTTATAACTGGCCCTGAAAGTCAACTGATTCCAATCATCAAAAATTGCAAAACAAATATCACAATCTGGAAAAAGCACAAAAAATCTGCATGCTTTCGAGGTTGCAGGTATGTTTCCAGGGTTGACATCCCGAAAAGTAGCCATCCCTGAAGTAGCCTGCAGGTACTGAGAATCTTGTCTTGGCTACTTGGGAGTGCATCCCAATTCGTGAATGACCAATGATCAATGACGCATAAAATACTTGTGTATACATTCTAAGCATTGTTGATCCAGAGACATCCCATCTTTAATTGGGTTGTCAGCATGGTTTTCTTCCCCAAGCTCGAAGCGTAAAACACATGATTTGAGAGGCTCCTTTGAGGGACATAGTCATGTATTTTATGTTTGGTAGATGAAAGGTCATCACAAATCAATGCAGCATCATGATGAACACACATTCCAAAGCTTGAACCTCCAAACTGAGACAGCGTCATTGGCGGGGGAGCAATGACCCCGGTGTTTTGCGAGAGTTGTTTGGGAATATTCAATATTGACCCAAGAACTGGCGGTTTTCAAACATATCCACCCCCATCTGAAATGGTATTTCAGGGGGTTGCTTGCAGTTGTTTGAACCAGGGGAAGTTCACCAAATCTGTCAACCCAACTGTCGCTGCACTGCGCCGTTTTTCTCAACAGTCCAGCGTGGCAGAGGCGACAGTACCAAGGTTAACCATTCAACAAAGTGCCACATGATGCCACGGTACCAGTAAGATCATACAGACAAACGGTAGAGTCCACCATGACGGTAGGTCATTGGCTTGGGAAAACCATGGATGATCAACATATATAATATAGAGAGAGTATTATACAGTAGCTATATCTTAGTTTGCTGCAAGGCCTCTTGAAGCTTGACCTCATGGTGGTCCTGGGTTACTCTAGGAATATAACGGACCAAGACCCGTTCCAGTTCCAGGGGCTCAATGAATGTACGGCCCATAAAGACCATCAACAAGGAAGCAAAGAATCGCATCCACTCTCTCGATTGTGCCAGGCGCGTTTTTTTTGGGCAAATGGTAGAAGTGTCCGAGCAAAATCCGGGATGCACCACAGGGAAGGGTGTGAGTTGCAACAGTAGCTCCATGCTCTTTCTCTTAGGAAATCTATCCAAAATCAAGGAGGAAATTTGAGTATTGCGGTATTGCGGAGTTTCCTTCAACCTCAAAATGTTAACGATCATCCAGATGACTGATGTTCCACTTCCATCGAAGCACCCATTTGTGCGTCAAGAGCCAAAACATGTCAAAACTTAGATGAGTAACTGGCAAAACTGTTGTATCACTAATTTAGTCATTCATGCCTTAGCCTGTGTCAAACCTTTACTACCTGTAGGGGACGACTCGATAGCGATACACGTGTTTTTGCATGGGTCACAAACCAAAGTCAGTGACTTGATTTGGTTTTTGCATGCGCCCCAAACCAAAGATACTCTACCTGACTCTACCTATATCCAACTGATACCCAACAATTGAGCCAGCTTGTTCTGGGGACATGGTACCAAAAATTTGGTCCATCATTCAGTCAGGCAGTCAGTCCATCGGTCGCTCAGTATAATTAAAGACATTTGTGTAGGCCTTCCACCTCCTATAGCCGCTGATGTTTTTTCCATGTTTTTTTTCCAACATGTCCGCCCCGGCCCTACTGGCATTCATGCTAATGAATCGTCGGAATTGAAACAAAAAAGCCTTCATGGCTGATCCGTAGTGAACCCGGAGTTTCATGATTATATGTATAAATCCTAACTGCCGAAAGGGACGACCAACTGTCGATTGTCATACTCTAGATAGCTAAGTTTGGTTTCCAACTCTAACAGTAGATATATCTACAGTTAGTACGGTGTATACATCTATATAGTATGGATATTTCTGGATATTTATGGTAGATACATCTACAGTTAATGCGGTCTATAAACCAACTTATTACTGGGGCTGGGGGCCACCTCGTAGGGGGATGATTGCCCCAAATGTTTGGTGGTATCCCATTATTCATATTATATGATGTTACATGTTTATACCTATATATATATACGTACCTACAACTGTATAACATATATGTGTATATATATATGTATATATATATATGTATATAGACATGACGGGTCCTATCTGTTCTAAACCAACTTAGCCATGGGGCAGCACCTTGTTTTAATATCTAGGCTGAGATGCTTTGGCACCAAGTCTCCGCACGGACTCGGGTTCTGCTCTAGACGCGGGTCGTATGATGGGGCGTCGCTGAGTTCTGTGGCTGTGCCTTTGTTTAAATTGAGCTGTTCATGGTGCATACCAAGCAGGACATGAAAAGAAAAAAACATGGTCATGTTTGTACTACATCCAATCTGGGATGTCAGCACTCTCGAGAAAACCCCACCCAGCCGCAGCGAAGCATGTCCAGGGGGAATATCTCAAGGGCACAAAACAGTGCATTTTACTTGCAATGTCGCTCCATGCATGTCATTTGCCCCTCAAAGTCACAAGTCCCAATTAAAACATCCTACCCTTGGTCCCGAAATCCCTCTGAAAGTTGTAGCCTTGTTAAGAAAAACACTAGTTCAAATGGTTCAAATATGTCCCTTACAATGAAAAAAGCGGTGCTTTAGCCAAACAGTTTTTTTAAAGAACATGTTTGGGGCCCAATAAAATGATCCCCGGTCGCGGTCCCCGAAAAACCTCAGGCCACCCAGACACCCACCCAGACACCTACCCATCCCCCCGTGGTGGTACGGCTTGGAAACGCCATGGCGCGGCAACACGCCTGGCTTTGATGATGGGTCAGAGAAAAGAAGGCGCTTGTTGACTCGGGGAGCACGGTGGAAAAACTAACAGAAGATAGCAAGGCACAGGATGGTACAAGAAAGGGATCTGTTCAATGATCTTTTGCCTGAGGGTCAAGGAAATTAGAAAGTGGTGCTCCAAGTGATTCTCTTTTTTCTGCCACAACCACAACTGTACATAACATATGTATATAATCGAAGGAAGTTTAGAAGTCAAACTTCCGACGATATGGACAGATGAAAGCAGAGGTGGGAAGAGTCAGAGAGAAGAGAAGAGTAGAAGAGAGAAGAGCAGAAGAGAGAAAGAGTCAGAAGAAAGAATATGCAGGTACGTGAAAAGGTAGAAAAGCCGCGAAACACTGTGCTTTTCCAATGTTTTGTGGCTCCGGACGAAAAAGTAGGCTTACCAAACCGGCGGGTGCGGAGCCATCTGGGCAGCTGAGAGAGAGATCAAAAATTGCACGCCAATGCGGCGCGAAGCAGATTTCGAAGTCAAAATGCTAAAAACACTTCAGTGTCGGAGCACTTTTGGAAGTTCAGATGTCGAAAAAGTGAACGCCGTTGTGGTGTGAAGCACACTTCGAAGTAAAAAGCAATAAGCTCGGTACAGCTACAACTACAACTGCCACTACCATTACCGCTACCACTACAGCACCACTACACTACCACTACGCTACCATTACATTACCACTACACTACCACGCTACCGCTTCGATTACGCTACCACTACACTACCACTACACTACCACTGCGCTACCACTACAACACTACCACTACGCTACCACCACGCTACCACTACGCTACCATTACACTACCGCTGCACTACCACTACACCACCACTACGCTACCACTTCGCTACCACTACACTACCACTACACTACCACTACACTACTGCTACAACACAACGACAACGACAACAACAACGACAACAACAACAACAACAGCTGCTGCTGCTGCCGCCGCTACCGCTACCGCTACTGCCACTGATAATACTACTACTGCTACTGCTACTGATACTGCTGCTCCTACTACTACTACTACTACTACTACGACTACGACTACGACTACGACTACTACTACTACTACGACTACGACTACGACTACGACTACGACTACGACTACTACTGCTGCTGCTACTGCTACTGCTGCTGCTACTGCTACTGCTACTGCTGCTACTGCTGCTACTGCTGCTACTGCTGCTACTGCTGCTACTACTGCTACTACTGCTGCTACTACTACTGCTACTACTGCTACTGCTACTGCTACTGCTACTACTGCTACTACTACTACTACTTCTACTACTACTTCTACTACTACTACTTCCTCTTCTACTACTACGACGACGAGGGCCACTACGACGGCCACTACTACCACAGCCACTACTACAGCCACTACAGCTACAGCTACAGCTACGACTACAACAACAACAAGAAGAAGAAGAACAACAACAACAGCTACTACAAGTACCGCTACAACTACAGCTACAATTACCACTACAACTACAGCTACAACTACAGCGACAACTACGACTACAACTACGCTCATTACACTGCAACTACAACGACCACTACAACTACACTACAACTGTGACTACAACTACACTACGCTACACTACAGCAGTTGCGCTTGAGAGGACCTCTGCAACCACTCCAAAAAGCACAGCGTCACAACAACTCACCTCTCCTATAGTTTCCTATCTTTGAAACTTCCGCCACCGCCTTGTGCGGTACTACCGGTATCGTCACATCAACTCAAACCCATCCGCGAGCCTATAGTTCCAACTAACTGCACTTGCTGAGTTTCATTTCCTGAGTCAATAGAAAATGAAAATAGTTAATGCGGTAACCCCAATCACAAATCCCAAAAAATCACCTTTTTGATGGATTGTCTAAACCATCCCCACATGCTAGATTCTGCTAGATTTATGGCCTTGGGTTTCACTTTACACCAGGAACCACTTCCAATAACTGCTGTTCTTCCCACCATTCCAACGGCCGCCAGGCGACACCAGCGCCGCGTCCACCGTGGACGGCCAGTCGCCGCAGTCACCACGCCTGTCACCCCGCCAATCGCACCTGAACGTGCCGCCGGTTCCCTCCGAGTCGGAAGCCTCCAGTGAAGCGTCCGGCGAAGTGAAGCGACGGCGCCTGACCGTGGTGCGAGGTGACAGTGGGATGGGGGAGCTGTTGGCGGTGGTGGGTAAAGTCAATGCTGTTGCCGTTTTGGATGGACAAATGGAAAGTAACACCAACCAAGAGTGGAAAACGTAATTGGAAAGGTATCTGTAGAAGATAGGCCATGGTGAGAGGATCATTGCAGATATTGTAGAACAATTCTGAGTAATTAGTTGTATTACATGTATAGAGCGAGCACAGGATACGTGTAGATGAAGCAACAAAAGACGGAAATTATTGAAAAACAACACCTGGGATTGTAAAAAACAAGGATTGTAGGCAAAGTTGCAAACCAGCGAATGCTGGAAAGAGTCGAGTCGAACCAAGCAAACAAGAGGATTTGACCAGCAACATGGAAATCAAACCAACAGACATAGGCGATATAGGGATAAGAACGTGGTGAGAAAGATGATGACGATGACGCTGATGATTATGAAAACTATGATGCAATGAGTTTACTGACTCTCTTGCGGGCGGATCCATTGTGGGGGCTTGGACACGTGGGAGTACGAAGCACATGTGATATGAGCTGGTGACTTTCTCAGCATTTGAAAACATCCTAAATATTCCTAAGTTACATTCTTACATGATACTATATTTTTTTGAGTGTGTCATATGAGGATGGTTTGCTCAGACCTGTTGTCAAACAACGTTTTTTTGGTTGCTCAGCATCCATTCATGTACCCTCCCCAACTCCCACCATGTTTTGGATGAGGTCCTCGGATTTCTTTGAAATAAGGTACCCCTAGAAATGTGGTGGTTAGGTACTGTACAATTTAACACATCTTAATACACCTTAATACATGTTTGGTTTAAGAGGAACATCGCTTGAAAGTAGATTGATATGAATTGAAGTCCTTACTATTTTTTTGATTTCGTCTAGGTTTAAAAGCAAAATCAATTGAAAGTAGGTTGATATCAAGTCGAAGTTGTTCTCTTATGACTTCAACTAGGATGTCGATTGTTTAGGGGAAAAAACCTTCGCAGAACCTTTTCCCTAGGTACCTGCCTTCTATTGGCGGGGATGTTTATTAATCCAAACTTGCCAGTATCATATATCAAGTGGCCAAAATAGTCCATAAAATGTGTGTACCACCCATGTATAGCCCATTCCCATAAATATGTCCCATGATACCATATTATATATACGTATATATATACGTATATATATATCATTATATTACATATATATATATACATATATATATAGTATATATAAACATTATATATACCACATTCGTATCCCATTACTATTCCACTTGGCCTGCGCGGTCTCGCGGTCTAGGCCAAATCCCCGCTGAGCTGGAGGAGTTGTTGACGAAGCCTTTCTCAGAGGAAGAGTGACTCGGCGCGCATGGGCTGCTTGGGGGGTAAGTAACCCATAGGGAGGCGTGAAATGGAAAATATGGACCTAGAAATGGAACAACACGCGCATTTAATTAATATTTATATCAAGTATATATGATAGTTATAATACATGAACATACATGAACTTATTTTTCCTAAGACATAGTTTAAATCTTAGTTGGAAAGTTTGGTAGCATGGCTGCAATAGGTTAACCAAAGAAAACAAGTATTGGCGCCAACAAACAGAAAAAAACACAGTCAACTTCGGTAAACTGTGCGTGAATTATCGGTAAAAACGTTGTGTTGCACTTTTTGCTATGGAAGGCCGGGGGTCGAATATATTGTATAAAATACCCATGCAAGGATCTGAGTACAGGTATCCAAAATTTGTTGTGGTTTCGACTGAAGAAGATTGCATTCTCACTAAAAATATCTGCATATATAATATATATATATAGATAGATAGATACGTATATGATGTATGTATTATTTAGAGACATGTTGCATACAACCTGGCCGGCAGGAATACTGCATAGTTATATACATATTCTTCCATCAGATCAATGAATTTGCAACTCAGATAATAACTAAGCTAGCCAACACAAGATGTGATATAGATACCCTTCATTGAGCTGATTAGGATTACAGCCCCCTTTCCAAGTATGAATCGGGTAATCCCAGTGATAAAGAATTCCGAATTCCCATGTTTTCCAGTTTGCCGAATTGCCATTTCGAGTGCTTTGAAACCACACCGCAGCAATGGGATTTGTTATGTGGCTTTGTAATGTTAGTAGCATAGGGACGCATCATTGGAAGCACCATCACGATGCCATGCTGTGTCCCGCTTAAGCCCAATGTTCGTGTATTACCCATTGAGGTAGATGACCTCCCATGGAAAGCTCACGTGATTTCTGAGCTACCAATCATGTTGTGGAGGGTCACCAACAACCATCGAATCCAACAGAAGATCAAACATCAACATGACAAAGCAAAATAGACACAATGAGAATATGTTCATGAGTTCATAAGTATGTGATATAAAACATTCTAGATAATTATAAACATTCAATCATGTTTTTTTCGGCACCTTGAAACTTCATGAAACTCTCCAAACTCTACGGTGTCGACAGTTTGCCAGCCACATGACTTCATGAGATTTCTCCCATTTTCTCCCCTCCACGCGGTGAAGGCGTGAGCACATCTTCCAGTCAGTGGGGTTAACCACTGTGCCGCAGCAGCTGGGAAAAGCTCCCATCGAAGCTCGGCGAAAAATCGCGGCAGCGTCCTGAATCAACCGTTTGGATCCGTTTGGTGCATGAATCAATCGCTTCCATTTTTTTTTTGCTCTTGGCAACCTGAAGCTTACGCTGCGGCCAATGCAGATGCAAATTCGGTCTTTGCGAAGAGAAAACATCACGAATGTCCAACGAAATCAGGGCCTATAAACTGCCAAAATGAGAAATTGTCATTCTCAAGGCCTGCCTTCTGAAATCGCCTCATCGACCACGTGTCGGCCGAGGGCTTCATGAAAACCATGAGCTAATCCGGCGCACAGCGCAGGCGGCTACTCTTTCAACTTCGATGAAACTATGCCCCATCATGGCCTCTGCCGATAGACGTCCCCCATGGAATACCAGGAGTGATCTGTGAACTGCGTAGAACTTGCAGCATCTTCGGAAGATTCAGAAGGAGTAAACCTGTGGGTTTGGGGGACATTGCACCGTCAGGACAAAAGTTTTTCCTCTTGGGCTTTCCAACACCCTTTCTCCATAGATTCCTACAAAAGAAGTTTCTACTTAAGAATAAGAACTTTCTACTTGGGTTGATTCACCACGGACCACATTCGTAACCTTTATAAAACAACAATAAATTAAAACGACTACGACTAGTAAATTCGATCCACCACGCAGGCCACGCAAAATAGCCATCCGAAGCATAATGGTGATCCGCAAAGAGATATACACTGTTTTGTTCTGAAATAGCGCGCGGGAAAAAAAGTAGTCCTAGTGATGCATATATATATATACATACATTACATATGTATAATATATATATATGCAATATATGTATACTATACAGTATAGCGTTACAATCTATAGTTATACAATATATAATAGTTATATTATACCATATATAGTTCACACCACTTCTGTAGTGATAGGGCAATGAAAAAAGTGGCATCACACCATAGATCAACAGGCAAGGAGTGATATATACATATGTATTTACATATATTCGATATATTGATCGGGGGTTGACGTTGACACAAGTTGCGTGGTTTGATTTTGGGAGTTTCAACAGAGAATGCTGCAATTGTTCAAGATGTCGAGGGGATATCACGAACCCACATATTTGTGGGATAATCCACAACATCATTTGTTGTTTAGTTGTCCCAACTCGAAACCTTATGCGATTCACCAAAAAAAATGAGACGTCTCGGGTGTGGCTCAACCACCGACCTCACTGGAATGGGAATCATCCCCAAATGATGGCGGCGGATGGGTTTGTCCATAGAAAAACCCACTACCTATACCCATACCAGTTGGTTTGGTTACATATTTCATGTCCCATAAAAAAAAATCCCATAGAATGCTCACGTGAGTTAATCAAATCACATTTTCTTAATATTTAGCAACCATCTAGTGCTGGTTGTAATCCTATGTCTATTGGTTCTATAGTTCAGCTTCCAATTTGCCACAGAAATGCCCATGTATAACCCAGAGGTGTGGCTATTGTTCCACATATTTCGTGCTTCGACCTTTCGTTTTATTCGTTCAATCTCACTTTGTTCGTAAAGTATCTTTAGTTAACACACCATCCATTGTTTACTCTCGGGTAAACTTACATAGATGTGGAAATCTGACCATGAATCTAGATAAAACTAGATCATTGTCCGAACAAGAAACCATGGGTTTTGCACATGTATGTCAGTTTACCCCAGGGCAATATACCCCCTCCTTTACTCCGTATCTGATTTTTTGTTATCTTATGTTTGCTTTATGGTAAAGGTTTTACTGAGGAAAAGTGATTAACTTTTCTTACCGGGGATTTAACGTACTATGAATTCTGCTTCATAGTTTACCCCATGGCCCCATGGTTCAACCATTTTATTCTATTTAAAACTAGGAGGGAACCGTTTGGAGCTACGGTTTTTCGTTTTCGAACCATATGATAGCCATTTTATGGTTTTTACCATTGGCAAATCAAATAGTCATCTTATAGGGCTTATCACCATTCTAATATCCATAAAAGTAATCTCAACTGCATCCCTCAAATTATTTTAATTGGTGATTAAAACATATTAAAACTATATATAGCAATTGAACATCCTCCATGTATATCAATAAAAACATAGATGCTCCATTACTGGTTGGTGGTTTGGAACATGGCGTTTATTTTCCCATATATTGGGAAGAATCATCCCAAGTGACTAATATTTTTCAGAGGGGTAGGTCAACCACCAACCAGATTAATTTAAGATTCCGTTTAGATACGGCAACACAAATCTGAACGAATCCCTTCCGAGGCCTTGTGGCTCTTTGGGCCGCCTGCGGCCGGAAAGACCTCCGTGAGCGAGGAGGTGCGCCAATGGGCCAGCGCCGCCAGCCATGGTAAAAATCCACCCATTTCTCCCACAGTGGAGATTAATCCAATGTGTAAAACCTCTAAAAAACGACCCATTAAACTAATTTAAGTGGTTATAACTTCAGTTATTAGATTTATTAGCTATGTATGCGTGTTGTAGCCTGTAAACCCCATGAAAACCCCCATGAACCATGGATCTACCATAAATTCAAACGACGTATTTGTTATAAATGTGAAGTAAAGCAACTTGTCGTGGCGTGGTGTGCACCAGCTGTGGCTTCGCAGGTGGAAGAGGATTACTTTGGAGCCAAGGGATTTGCCGTGTCGAGCTGAGCTGAGCCACCAACATCTGGGTTTTTTTGGACCCGCCACCGGTCCCGGGTCCAGTGGGTCGTTTCACCCAAGACATGGTGAAAGATGACGGTTTAACATGGTTTAACCATCAAAGATGCGGGTTGATGGGTTAGATAAGGGATGATGAGGGGAGTTATTGGGATATTTGGGGATGGAGATATTCTGGAGAAATTATCACCACCCCAGTGCGATATCACTGGAATGTGGTGAATTCGGAGGATATCATCCCGTTTGAGGTTGGTGGCTTCATTGCGGACTTGGCTAATGGCAAGTTCGAACACCTCACTGGCGTGATGATAGACGGGAAAATCATCAGCTAGTGAAGTTTTGGGACTTATTGACTCATTCTTTAAATTTATACCACTTCCATCTACCAACTTCCCACTGCTAGGCTAATGTGGGTTGGTACTAAGCCAATCAGCTAGGCGGATGTTTTTGGGGAAGATGGTAAATCTTTGGTGCATAAAAAACATGTTTGGAAACTGGAAGCCAAGTATTTCTTTTAGCTGTGGCTACAATGTGGAAGCCTTGCAAGGCTGGCTGGAAACACTAGAGATTGGAATTTGTATGGCTAGAAACTGAAGATCTCTAAACGTGGCCGGTGGCATCCGAAAAATATTGATCTGAATCTTCGTAGCAAGGGCAGCAAGGGAATTATATCTGAACCAACCCACGGATGAGTCCTATAATGCAAAGATCTGAGTTCCAACATTCCCAGAATATTATCCCGGAATTGGTTTACGGAAAAATCAGAAGGAAGCATTACATTTGGTGGTAATACCATCGTTTCCGGTTTCGATCTTGAGGTGAGCATCGATGGAAGTCACGTCAGGGATTCTCATACGGGGTTTCAGCATCTTGGCTGGTTTGGCTATCACAAGGATTGGAAACAAGATGAAGGTTTCCAAAGTCATGGGTGATCCCCAAGTCACCACAGCTATGCCACAGGTGTTTCAGTTACTAAGTCATGGTTGTCACAACTGGATGATTTGGAGATCCCCCATTTGAAGAAGGCCCCACATAGATCGAGATACACTATTGCTGCGACCTCAAGTCGCTATGTCACGACAGAATGATGGGAGGTGGATTGGGATAACGATCCACAAATGGCCGAACTTTGGTCACAGGGTGGGGGCCTCCCACCCGGGCCTCCTAATCAATGTGCAAGACCGACCTTTTCATGTCATGTTAGTGATTTTATATCTTATCCATGCTTATCCAGATAGATGTATTGTTCGTATTAGTTAGTTGATTGATTCATACAGGGGTTAACCCCAGTTGGCAACCAATCGACAAGTGATGATGGACTGCCCACCAAGCTGTCTCCATTTTTCCCAAGGAGACCTTGTAGTTCTGAAGGTTGGAGCTTGGACATGATGGCTCAACACCAGCCAAATCACATTGGTGGAAACCCAAACTATTGGTGTCTATATCTTAAGGTATTCCCATGTTTGGCTGGTGAAAGCTATATTATATATATAAATAATTATAAATATATAATTTATATATTGTTTCTGTCGCTCAACCAGCTTTTCTTAGTATCCTGGCTATGTCCTCCAGTTCTATTGATTTCTGTGGGTCGTATGCATCCCAGAATTGGGTGATGGGCAAAAAAACTGTAGGAACCCAGTTTTTTGAGGATCAACAGCATGCTCTTCGTGTAGACGTCCCCTCCAAGCCCAATCCCTTGAATCCAAGTGCCCCCCTGCGAAATCCCCACTAAAAAACGGCTTGTGTTTGTTGGTTCATATCTTCAGTTGGTCGGGCTGAGTTTTTTTTCAGTGACCACTTTGCATTTTTAGAGGATACATCTAGAGAAAAAGACTCTTTGTAAGTTATAACAGTTATATCATGTATACAAATCACAAATTCCTTTTCATTTTGCTAAATCCCAAGTGTTTGTTCTTTATCATAAATTCATCATCTATGTTGAATGTTTTTTCGGGTGGTATATACTTCTTGTTGGACTTTCAGCAGCAAAACATAGCGAAACAAAAACAGCTCTTGCCATGCCATGACTGCCATGTGCCTATCATGTGCTCAAGGAAGGTGCTGAAGCATGGCTTCGATCATCAAATGATCCACGCGGATGCCTGGAGCAAGCTCAAAGCCACCAAGTGCCATGGCTGCAGAGTCGACAGTCTCCGGGGCTTTCCCTTCCGAAGCCGTGGTTTAGTTGGGTTTGTTGTTTGTTGATAAACAATAAGACAATAAGGTAATATAAGATACGGATCATACAAACTTAAGTAAGATGATTTTGTTTGGTTATCAATATATATATATATAAAACGGGCTAGCGCCCGGGTGCCGCCGACCCCTCCTTCTTTGGGACACAACGCTAGTATGTGGTCATGCTTAGAGTTTCCAATATGTTTGTCCCGCTTGCCAAAAGTCTGTGAGGAGCAGTATACGCACGGGCCAAGTAGATCACCGACGCGCATGTGGTAACCGTTTCCAGGTGTGGGATGCGCAGGTCGTTGCGAAAGGGTATGTGTATATTTGCCCTGCTTGCAAAGGGAATGTGGCCATTGACGTGAAGACAGGGCAAATAGACCATCGAAGGGTCTGTGGGAAGCAGTTTTCTGTCAAGGACGGCGTTGTGACGGAAAAAGCGTATGTTTACGTTTGCCCCGCTTGCAAAGGAAATGTGGCCAGTGACGTGAAGACAGGGCGAATAGACCATCGAAGGGTCTGTGGGAAGCAGTTTTATGTGAAGAACGGCGTTGTGACGGAAAAAGCGTATGTTTACGTTTGCCCCGCTTGCAAAGGAAATGTGGCCAGTGACGTGAAGACAGGGCAAATAAACCATGGAACGGTCTGTGGGAACCAGTTCTCTGTCAAGGACGGCGTTGTGAAGGAGAAAGCGTATGTTTACATTTGCCCCGCTTGCAAAGGGAATGTGGCCATTGACGTGAAGACAGGGCAAATAGACCATCGAAGGGTCTGTGGGAAGCAGTTTTCTGTGAAGAACGGCGTTGTGACGGAAAAAGCGTATGTTTACGTTTGCCCCGCTTGCAAAGGAAATGTGGCCAGTGACGTGAAGACAGGGCAAATAAACCATGGAACGGTCTGTGGGAACCAGTTTTCTGTCAAGGACGGCGTTGTGAAGGAGAAAGCGTATGTTTACATTTGCCCCGCTTGCAAAGGGAATGTGGCCATTGACGTGAAGACAAGGCAAATAGACCATCGAACGGTCTGTGGGAAGCAGTTTTCTGTCAAGGACGGGGTTGTGAAAGAGAAAGGTGGTAAACGGCAAGCTTGAACGCCGAGAAAAGGCTATTGATTTGGCTTTGGGGTATCGTTTGCATTGTGCAAAGGCTGGCAAACGGCAACCTTGGACGCCTAAGAGAATTGATTTGGCCTTGGACCCCCATGACGGGTTGTAAGGGTTTTAAGCGTTTGGACGGTTGTTAAGGGTTTTAAGCGTTTAAGGGCTGGCAAACGGCAGGCTTGGACGCCTATAAGAAGACATTGATGTGTGGCCTTGGAGTGCCTGTTGGCCGCAGGATGAAGCATGCCAAGGTTCCCTTGTGTTTAAGGCCTGGCAAACGGCAGGCTTGGACCCCCCATGACGGGTTGTAAGGGTTTTAAGGGCTTTAAGCGTTTGGAGGGTTTTTAAGCGTTTAAGGGCTGGCAAACGGCAGGCTTGGACGCCCATAAGAAGACATTGATGTGTGGCCTTGGAGTGCCCGTTGGCTGCAGGATGAAGCATGCCAAGGTTCCCTTGTGTTTAAGGCCTGGCAAACGGCAGGCTTGGACCCCCCATGACGGGTTGTAAGGGTTTTAAGGGTTTTAAGCGTTTGGATGGTTTTCAAGCGTTCAAGGGCTGGCAAACGGCAGGCTTGGGCGCCCATAAGCAGACATTGATGTGTGGCCTTGGGGTGCCTGTTGGCTGCAAGATGAAGCATGCCAAGGGAATGTTTAAGGCCTGGCAAAAGGCAGGCTGCGATACCCATAAGAAGCCATTGATGTGTAGCCTTGCGGGCCTGGCAGGCTTGGACCCCCATGACGGTTGTAATAAGGGTTTTAAGCGTTTGGATGGTTTTTAAGGGTTTGAAAAGCGTTTAAGGGCTGGCAAACGGCAGGCTTGGACGCCTATAAGAAGACATTGATGTGTGGCCTTGGAGTGCCTGTTGGCCGCAGGATGAAGCATGCCAAGGTTCCCTTGTGTTCAAGGCCTGGCAAACGGCAGGCTTGGACCCCCCATGACGGGTTGTAAGGGTTTTAAGGGTTTTAAGCGTTTGGAGGGTTTTTAAGCGTTTAAGGGCTGGCAAACGGCAGGCTTGGACGCCCATAAGAAGACATTGATGTGTGGCCTTGGAGTGCCTGTTGGCTGCAGGATGAAGCATGCCAAGGTTCCCTTGTGTTTTTGGACTGGCAAACGGCAGGCTTGGACCCCCCATGACGGGCTGTAAGGGTTTTTAAGGGTTTTAAGCGTTTGGAGGGTTTTTAAGCGTTTAAGGGCTGGCAAACGGCAGGCTTGGACGCCTATAAGAAGACATTGATGTGTGGCCTTGGAGTGCCTGTTGGCCGCAGGATGAAGCATGCCAAGGTTCCCTTGTGTTCAAGGCCTGGCAAACGGCAGGCTTGGACCCCCCATGACGGGTTGTAAGGGCTTTAAGGGTTTTAAGCGTTTGGAGGGTTTTTAAGCGTTTAAGGGCTGGCAAACGGCAGGCTTGGACGCCCAAAAGAAGACATTGATGTGTGGTGTGGCCTTGGAGTGCCTGTTGGCTGCAGGATGAAGCATGCCAAGGTTCCCTTGTGTTCAAGGCCTGGCAAACGGCAGGCTTGGACCCCCCATGACGGGTTGTAAGGGTTTTAAGGGTTTTAAGGGTTTTAAGCGTTTGGAGGGTTTTTAAGCGTTTAAGGGCTGGCAAACGGCAGGCTTGGACGCCCATAAGAAGACATTGATGTGTGGCCTTGGAGTGCCTGTTGGCTGCAGGATGAAGCATGCCAAGGGAATGTTTAAGCGATGGCTTTTAAGGGCTGGCAAGTGGCCTTGGAAAGCTAAGAAGGAGAAGTTCCACACCTGCGGTGGTCCCAGGCGCCGCCCCTGCCTTGGCCAAGGCCGGGGTCGGCGGATATATATACATGCGTTGTACATGTGGTTGATGAATATTGAATATATAGAGAATGGACGAAAGGTTATCCTCTACCAATCTATCCTGCCAAGAACTTGACTCGTCACCCAGAACCGAATTTCGGAGCGACTTTGGCCGACCTCACCATGATTGTTTATATGAATGGATGGTTTCCAACATTGAACCAAACATTGGCTATTGATTTCCTATTATAACAATAATTCTATATAGATTGTTTCATTGTTATAATAGGAAATCATCCCAACATTTTTCTGGTTATATAAACAATCATGGTGAGGTTATCCTCTACCTCACCTTTGGAAATCATCCCAAGATTTTTCTGGTTTCCTGGGAGTCATGTTGCTACAAACCCCTGGGCTTTCCAGAATCCTATCGTCAGAGGTATGTCGAGCGGCTGAAGGAAGAAATCTTCCAGCGCGCCGTCCAGAACCGCAGCTCGGCGGCGTCTTTTTTGGGGAAAGATGCAGAAAGATACCATGAATGGTGAATGATGGTCAATATAATATATATATATATATTATATACTATAAAATGATGGTTAATATAAAATAATATAATATATACCATGAATAATGCTTAATATAATGAAAATACTTAATACCATGAATTGTCATGAAAGATAACTAGCCAATATTCTTGATCACTAATGATGATTTATTGTTGATCTAATGGTGGTTAAGATGATTTTGATATGGGTTACAGTAATGATGGCTACTAGTGGTTCATAATTGCCAAGAATGGGATGATCTAATGAATATGTATTTCATGGTGCATGGTTAATAGTAATATTTACTACTGATGGCAAGTAACGGGATATTTAACGGTACACCATCCGGTGACATCAAACATGGTTGGGAAATCACCATAAATTGGGGGGTTCATTGGCGTGGTTGATTGCTAGAGGGTAGTCTTGTTGATTGATTATTGCAGTTGGTTTAGTACAAAGATGTACAAAGTACAAACTCTTACTAGCTGGTTCATTGGGCATTGTGACTGTGATGACCCTTGATAGGGATACCAACTGAGTAAGCAGTACAATATGGGATAGTCTCGGGGATCATACGAATTATACGGGTAGTTTCGTAGCTCACATAGACTGCGCGCAGATGTTGGGGGAGAGTCTGCATTTATCCAACCACTATTTGGGACGCACATGCAAGAATTGTATATCAAAAGTTTCTCCCACGTACAGTACGCATGTAGCTGATTGATAGGTTACTTTGATGCGGTTTCCATTTTATCCAGGGACGTTCAGTGGGAATAAATAGATCTGTGATGATCTGTGTGTTTCCAGAGGATCCATGATTGGACTGTTAAATATGAAGTTGAAGCTTCCACCGCTCATCCAGGTCCAGAGAATGCCTTTGCAGTTGCAATTGTTCCGCTGAACTTTCGCAGAATTTAATTAGGGGAGAACTGGGGAGAACAATGCATGAAATACACCATAATTTTCACCACATTTCACGGCACAAACCTATAGGGAGCTTTCCTGAAATGGGGGTACCCCTAAATCATCCATGTTTATAGGATTTTCATGGATTTTCCATTATAAACCTACCCCCATTTATGGAAACCCCCAAGTTGTGTCCTCGTGTTTTTCTCTGTTCCTCCCTTCGATTCGCCACCGTGCCGCTCTCCGATCCGCAGCGCTGTCGCCAGCGCAGGTCAAAACATCAAGATCTGTGACGCCGCGCAGAAGCCCGAGCGCGTGAGCATCGGGCCGCAGACGGAACGGCATGAGATTTCAATGGATTAATAGCGGGATGATAAAATTAATTACCCAACCTGGTTATGACATTCACAGTTCGCCATGGTTTTTTGATGGCCCTAATCAAAATATATGGTCTACCGTTCTTAATAGCATGGTGAATCTTTCCATGGCTATGTTAGTCATAACCAGAGGGTATTATTTATTAATCGATAATGGCTAAAATTAATAATGAGATGTTATAGATTGATCATTTAATAAATAATTCAATTTTATCCCATTGATAATAATCGCATTTTTAGTATAAATTATTATTAACCAATGGATACTGAGAGTATCGGATACTGTATTTGCTCTCTGGTAATTTAATAATGGATATTGAACATGGTGATGTTTGCAATATATTACATGACCAGAGGGTAGTTAACTGTAATTATTGATCCTTATAATGATTATTGGGATCGAGATGGATCGAGTAAATGCATGATAGTAATTCCTATAGTGTTTATAAAACTATTCAGTGTATTTGAATACTGATAACGTATTTGTTGTTGGGATTAACATTGGATTCAGCAACTGGATAATTATTACTGATGACTACTATATGGGTTTGTCTGAAAATAGCGTACCCCAAGATTACATATTATGTATTAAAATAACTATTTGGGTGTATACCTCATTTCCAGACACACCCATATGTTACTATATATATATACATACATACATGTATATATATATATATATTGCTGTCTCAATATTGTCTGACTGTCAAGGTATGTAATTGGTGGACAAATAGCTTTGTTTGCAATGGGGGCCCCCTAATGTCGGCCATGGGAATCAAGTCCTTGTGGGAGGTGAATACTTGTTGACCAGAATGGTATCCTGGAGCTAAGCTTTGGGAGCCCACTGAAAATCATTTGTGTTGAACCAGAACTGTAGTTTTAGAAAGCTATCCAACTTTAGATGTATCCACTATGTAAACAAACTTCCGTGAAACCATTTCTTACCATAGATCCTTCTTCCAAGGGCTTAGTTTGCTTGATTTTTTTTTATATACCGCCCGTTGGAGTTCAAGACTTTTTGACCCTTGCCAGGTGAAAAAGATGCTGAAGTCCCTCGAAGGTCACCGGGCAGTGTCACCGTTGTCACGACGTGAAAAGCTGCATACCTGGTCACCATTGGGGAAGAATCATCAATAAAGCAGCTATTTGGAGGTACCTCTATGTACCTATATGTAATATGTTGTACTTGTATGTACTTGTTGTAGTTGTATGTGTGGTTTTTCTTGAGTTTTTTTGTTGGCCATTTTGATGGAGGAACATACATTTGCCTCATGAGAAGGCCTGTTTTGGTATGATTGGGGACTGGACGAATCGGTTTTTCGTTTCCTTGATTTGATCCCAAGTTCGATCTTCCCATCGAAGAATTCGGAGGAAACCGTACCATCTGTACCTTGACCATGTTTGAATCCTCAAAACTGGTTGTGACTATTCAGCAATCCCTAGAACCTAACACACCTACAGTAGTTGTAATTTCAACATCTGCATCTCTTCAATGGGTTACTATACCCCAGAATTTTCCCAACATTTCGCCAGCTTTTCCCCGACAGATGCGGACTTCGAGTTGCACGCCATGTGCTTGTGGGTCCCAGAGGCGCAGAAAAAGGAGCGAAATGGTAAGTCCTGGGACGAAATGGGAAGTGATCTATAGGTTATTTTTCATGGGTAACGATAGGAAAACCTCTATGCCCCACGGAAAAAGATAGAAAAGAGAAACCAGGATATCGCAAGGATGTCGCTATGTGACTTTTCACAGTTTGATAACCAGGGACCAGGTGATAGCGTGGTAAACCCAAACCATAAACTCAATCTCTTTGAGGCTACTAATCCCAAAAGCCCAAACGCAACTTTGGTGAACCAGAAAGGGATGATCCACCCTGATTCTGAACTTAACCCCAGCCTATCACGGCTATGAAGGTCCTGGACACATGGTCTCTCTACTTAAAATTTGGGTGAGACCATTGGAATATATGTCATCTCCAAATAGCCATTTAGCTAATATTTCTTTTGTTGCTATGGGTTTATTATTAATGTCCCTATTCAAATGGCAACACATGGAGGAACCCATTATGTAAGTGTTGATTGAGTCATTTGTTAATTCTTGACACTTGAAACATGTCTTATTTTATATTCATATCAATGTTAAAAATCAGTTAATGGTTGAATTCAATCATACTAGTAGTTGATGATAACTCTATTAATATAGTTGAAACTATGAACAAACATCACTACAATAATCATTAATCAGTAATCATGATGATTCATCTATTATGTCTATTAATATCCATGACAGTCATGAATGTTCCATCACTATTATAAGCACTAATCATCATTAATAAAATGATAATAATGATCATTAATCATCTCTATAATAATCACTATTAATAGTCACTAATCACCAATAATCATTAGTGGTCACATATATTAAATGATATCATGTGATATATCATATATAATATTAACCATGGACCATTATATATCATTATACCCTCTGGTTATTTAACATAGCCATGGAAAATCACTATTTTTAATAGGTAAACCATCTATAAATGGGCCATTTACCATGGCTATGTTAAATAACCAGATGGTATATCACTATATCAATAGCCATCATCATTCATCACCATTCATCACACCATTGATACCGCCAGGTGGCGATCCGCTCCCGGGGGCAGCACCGCTCGGCCGAGAGTGGCCGGGTGGTGTGTTGCTCTTCGCGACTTGGCGAAGCAGCGAAGCCCAAGAAGATGTGATTTTTCACTCTATGGCTATATAGGCTATATGTGGAAATACATGATACATATATATATACATAATCATATGTTTATATATATATATCACTCTATTAGCTATTTAGGCTATAGATTTACTAATATATAGAAATGCACCCCCAAGTATGGGGTTTAACCATCCAAAACATGGTTTAAAAATGTTTATAATCATGTCGAAATGGTAGTTGGTGGTAGTCGATTAGCATCAAATAACCAATAATCAATAGTTGTTCATGTGAGATACCAGCAAGAACCCACTGATTTTGTGTTGGATCTATTATGATCTATTCATTCTGGGAGCCCACACATTGGGCTAATTACATGTAATTACTCAGGGTATGAGATTAATCTGCATTAATCTAACCTTTAAAATGACTGAAATGTGTTCTTCTGAAAGCCCCAAGATGCGCACGATGATGACCTGCAGAACTCCAGGACTTTAACTTGACAATTCATTGTCTGTTTGCTTCATTTTATTGGTTACCATCCGTTAATCAAACATGGTGATTGGAACTCGCCCCATTGATAGATGAAGTTCCTGTTCAAACCTTATTTACAAGGGATTGTCCTTTGGTACTCGCTTGAGTACCGGAGGGTATGTCAAAAAAGCTATGGATATCCCGTGATATCCCATATCTCCCCGCTATGGAATGATTTTGCACCCAGAGAACTTTGTTGCTCACAATTCCCAATATATGTTTATATATATATAGAGAGAGAGATAGATAGATAGATAGGTAGGTAGGTAGGTAGATAGATAGATAGCTAGATAGATAGATAGATAGATAGATTAGATAGATAGACAGACAGACAGATAGATAGACAGACAGACAGACAGATAGATAGATAGATCGATAGATCCATAGATCGATAGGTCGATAGGTTAGATAGGTTAGATAGGTTAGATAGGTTAGATAGGTTAGATAGGTTAGATAGGTTAGATAGGTTAGATAGGTTAGATAGGTTAGATAGGTTAGATAGGTTAGATAGGTTAGATAGGTTAGATAGGTTAGATAGGTTAGATAGGTTAGATAGGTTAGATAGGTTTGATAGGTTTGATAGGTTTGATAGGTTTGATAGGTTTGATAGGTTTGATAGGTTTGATAGGTTTGATAGGTTTGATAGGTTAGATAGGTTAGATAGATTAGATAGATTAGATAGATTAGATAGATAAGATAAGATAAGACAAGACAAGATTAGATTAGATAGATAGATAGATAGATAAATATATATATATAGTTGCTTGGACAAACTAAAATCATCCTTTGCAGGCTACACACCCATATATTATATTCCAGTTTGCGGACAGTTCTATTCAATCATATATGAATAGCTCCCAGAATTGGTTCAAATGATTTTTTTCAGGAAAACCCATTGAATATTGGATATGCATATATATATATTGGTCCTGTTACTCTGCTTTTCCATGGTTTACCTTTCATTTTGCGGGTCCTGCTGAAGTGCCCCAGGACCTATGCCAGTAGCTCCGACGCAACCTTGGCCCTGGCAAAGAAGTGGGATGAACAGTCAGGGTGGCCCAGAGATGTTTTGCCACCGTGGTGAAGGCGAAGGGGTGAAGTGAACATGGTGAAACGTTTTTTTTCTGGTGAATACGGCTGGAGTTCTGATTTCGATAAAGCAAAGAAAACCATTTTGTATAAGAAAAAAAATATCCTAGGGGTATTTTGGTGGCAAGTATAGGTGGATAAGCAAGTATACAGTATAAATGTGAATGAATGCTACAACAAATATGCAGTTCGTCATCAGATTAGATGTTGGTCAAACTAGTAGGAATCAGGTTTAATCAACATCAATGGAGATTATACTTTAACAACAAAACAAACAAAGAACTGGAAACTGCGTATGTATCGCAAAAGATTGTATCTCGATGCATTTGCTAAAGCCACGATGAATAATTTGAGCTAGGATTTTTGGTGATGGTGATGATATTGTTCAACTTTGGTGCCCCAACTCTTCCCAATGATTCTGCAGAAATAAGGCCCACCATGGATGCTTGTCATCGGAAACCTGCAGAAAAATTGGTCAGTGAAGCTCCCCATTTTCATAGACATCGACACGGACTACGGTGGTTTCCTTTCCCATACTTTCCCTGTTTCCAGTTGAGGGGGAGGTTTTGAAGGTCTGTAATTCATCCTTGCCCCAAATTTCGAGGTAATTTTTCCCCTAGAAAATCCTAGAAACCCTGTATTGGTATTGAAGGATCTATTTGAATCATTTTGAATCTATTCATGTTGGGCCCCAGGTGGGAATTCAATATTTGGGGAATCCCTACTGTCAATAATGGAAAACGAAGAATTCCTCAATCATAAATAGATACAGTACCTACCCGGCTCATAGGATGAACCTAGAAATCTGTTGTCATTATGAAATTATAAAAGAACGGAAACCAATCTGTTGGGGGCTGCTTATTGTACATAGTTGTGGTGTGTTTTTCCCCAACAAACAATATCAAACAATCCTATCAAACATTGTAAACATGGCACCAAACTGCCATGGCAGTCGTATGATGCTTCAGATCCCAATAAAACCAGATCAATAATTGTTGCGAAACAGCCCCAATCGTGTGGTTTACCATCCTCCAAATTAACAGTTCGACCCTGCCAAATGGAGCCTTGGAAGTCTTGGAAGATAAGTTTCCACATCTTTCCCACTTGAAATTCGCATAAAATATCATAAAATTGCTATGTTCAGGGTCCAACTGCTGAATTTTTTTTAAGGGGATCCCTTGAGGATGTCCCGTACGTATTCCGACATTCCGAAAAAAATCCGACGATCCGAGGATCCAAACGGACACGCATTACAAAAGCCTTGTATTGCTGGACAACACGCCGTGCCTTGCGAAAGGATGGAGATATGGGAAGATATGGGCAGATATGGGAAGATATGGGCTCATGGATGTTTTTGTTGAAACCAAAAATCATAAAAATTCTGAGAAATCATGCAGCAAACATGGTGATTTCCTGGCAAAACATGCGATTCTACCAGAGATGGTGAGAGCATTTGAGCAACAGTATATGGGTAAATTCTAGCGAACTCACGGGCCGACCAACAGGATTTGGGATTTCTGATCATTTGCACATAAAGGGATGGCATCATTTCTTGTGATGTGGAAAACGAAGAAGCAACCCAACAAAGAAAAAACACATATGGGGCCTGGAACAGACAATGTTAACATGGTTTCATGACTGTGTTTGGGTTTCCTTGTTGTAATGCGTGGGCTTTGATTTACCAACGGGTTCTCCATCTCCAATTTTCAAATGTTGACTTCTAAAGATAATAAACATTATAAATATAATAATGATAATGATAATCATCTGGAGTGGATTGAGCTATGAAGAGAATGTATGGTGCGCATTGCGCAGCCATGAAAAAGTCCAGAAGTGCCAACATGTACAACATGTTATTTGCATGGATCCACTAAGGGGTCTGGGCATTTCCAATTTACCCAACAAGAAATAATAATGTGGTGGTGTTCCCAAGCCTGCTCTTTGATTAAGCAGGTTGCACGATGGCAGTCATAACTCCCCAAAAATGGGATCAGTGGTATGATTTGCACGTGACAATGTTGCGCGCAAGTTTATGCTGGTCGGACATAGGGCTACAAGCATGCAAGCAATGCTGTATTCCCACCACTTCTCAAAGGATCGTTGAAAAGTTTCTCGGGATAATATAATCGAATCGGATCTGATCATTGTTTTTCATCCTGCAAGCTGGGCTCTCAACGAAACAACCATGGCTAAGTTGCTGTGAATATCACCCTCTTGAACGAGCTAGTGATATGATATAATGCTTTATATGTGTTATCTCCCTTAATTTTCCATAGACACTCGAATTCACCATGCAGTTATAGTTATATAATGTTTATAGTTCTTATCTCCATTTATCTTCCATGAACCCTCGAATTCACCCAGATGTTATACCTGACATGAGATCCACAAAAACTCCCAAAACGGGGCCTTGGCTTCTGCCTGCAACACGTGGAGCAACGGATCAGCAAGGCGACAGCCTCTGCGGATCTCGTTGGAGGAGTTCGAGTGCGCCACCGGAAAACTGGACGGGTCGCCTTCGGACAAAATCATTCATTAATCCCATCCCCTAATATTGAAATATATTAAACACCCTCTATAAATGGATCTAAATGGTCCCAATGATGTGGAAGTTCCCTACTGATCCTACTGAACCATGGTTTCTTTTTCAAGGGGGTGTTGAAAGTTGGGGGGATGGGGTTCATCAATATTTAAAGCTCACATGATTGATTAATGAATATATGAATGATGTTTCATTTGACTCGGCGGGTTGTCAACACATCATGTTACATTTGATCATAGATGTACAGCTTTTGCCGGCTGATTAGCTGCTGGTTTATTAAGAAAAGCCATTGATTCACCGGGGGTTTGATGCCTAAGAAGGTCCCGTCACTGGGATGGGAAAACCCACCATTGATCGACGATGTTCCGATTAACATGTCCATCTAGAGGGGATAAAAACTCCAGCTAGCCACGTTGCTTAAAATAATCCGGGTAGTACTTATTATGATTCCCTTTGACTACCATGATTTGGCTCAACATTCCAGACTTGCTTAAGATCCCCTGGTTTGTTGGGTGAAGTTGGTGAGGTTCTCCGTTGCTTCGATCGTTCCACGCCCAATTCCCAGGGTAACATCCCAGATGTATACAGGTGAAGAAACTATATTAATATGGAGGTGTCCTAAAATGGAGGTAGCCCAAATCATCCAAAAGACCATTTTAGTCTTGAAGATTTTGAAGCCCATTGTTCTGGGCCCCCATTTAAAAAAAGA